AGGAGCTTGGCATTAAGTCATTTTTCACAGATTTACACGGATGAGAAATGAAAATAAATAAGAAGCATTTCACTTTCATGTATAAAAACATCAAAAAAGGAGGGAATCTTCGACGAATAAGGGGGTCTAGCAGAAAAGGGCGTCTTGTGGAAAAATGAAATTTTCTTTGAAGCGAGGGGCTCCGTTGTCAGGCGCATCTGTTGCTTTAAAGTTATGTGAGACCATCTTTGCCAGATATTTGGTTGGCATTCGAGTGTAAAAGAAGCAGATTATCCGTTAGGGGCCATCTCAAAAGTGCTTTAGCATGCTCCAAGTTCTAGTAAAAAAGAAAAAAAAAATGCTGTTTAAGAGTCACTAGAGGTGCTGGGCGATATCACAATTTTAACAGCACGATATATCGTCAGGAGCCGTGGTGGTTCAGGTGATAGAGCTTTCTCCTTCCAATGAGGTGAAGCGGTTTTGAATCCCAGCGATGGCTGGTCGATACGAATCCCGTACCCGGCTCGCCTCGACCACAGTGCTGACGTAAAAATATCCTCTGTGGTAGACGAATCATAGGTTAGAGTCCCCTTGCCGCTTGTCTAACCATAGGACGTTTTCGTGGTTTTCCACCCCATGTAACGCAAATGCTGGTTAATTCCATCAAAAAATCCTCCACAAAGGCAAAATTTCTCCCAATACTTGATCCAGAAGTTCCCTTGTCGTCTGGATCGGGTTCAAAATTACAAGGCAACGGAGTTTAACATAAGCAGTTGTAAACCCAAAAGTGGTTCGCCTGTTCAATAACGGTTATAAAGTAAATTAAGATATATCGTCAGGAAACACGAGTATTTAACGTTATTTCTCTGACCCTCTATATTTTGAAGATCAGAAATCCAAATCCGTCGAAAAAAAGGTATGTTTATTCGGATAAAGCACCTTTTTTGACTGATTTCTTAACTTAAATTGTCGTCTGCACTTATTAATTAGCATATTTGAGATCACCCCCCCCCTCAAATTTACTGCAACTTCAATAGTGTGCGATATTGAACCATATTATACATTACGATATTATGGTTCAACTTGAACAAAAGTACCGGTTCATTTTAATGCTTTATTAAGGTTGCAATACATTCTGCATTCTGTTTTAAGGTATTGATATGGTTCAATATTGGATCAATTCTTCGGAAAGTTGTACAGAAATTGTCTCTCTTAAAATATTTTATACGTTATCGAGCTATTTTAAGGTATTAATATTGTAGTTCAAAGTTAGACATATTCTCCTTTTAGTGTGCATCTAAGATTGCCTCTTAAAGTGTTCTAGTTCTTAAGCTGATTTGAAGTATTAGTATTATAATTCAACGTTAGACATATTCTTCTTCTAGTGTGCATCTAAGATTGCCTCTTATTAAAATGTTCTCCCAGTTGTTAAGCTGCTTTGAGGTATTAATATTCTTCTTTTAGTGTACTTCCAAGATTGCCTCTTAAAGTGTTCTCCTAGTTGCTAAGCTGGAGGTATTAATATTATAGTTCAACGTTTGACACATTCTTCTTCTAGTGTGCTTCTAAGATAGCCTCTTAAAGTGTTCTCCTCTTTGTTAACTGCTTTGAGATATTAAAATTGTGATTCAACGTTAGACATATTCTTCTTCTAGCGTACTTCTAAGGTTGCCTCTTAAAGTGTTCTCCAAGTTGACGAACTGTTTTTCGATATTAATATTATGGTTCAACGCTTAATCCTACTGAAAGTATACTGAGGTAACTTCTTAAAATGTTCTCCAAGTTGTTAAGTTTTGCACTTATGATATTTTTGGTGAAAAACAAAATTTTCGTATATCTTTAGTCAATTTTTAGTTCTCAATTATTATTATTAAAAGGATATGGTAACTATTAATTTTTAATGCTAAAAATTATAAACTCCATAAAGTCAGAACATTTATTTTAAAAAAAATGTTTTGCTTTTTGTGATAATAAAACTCATCTTTTTTAGGATTTTCCAACGCAATTATTTCAAATTTCATCCGAATGCAATATGTGCAAAACCCCGTAAAGAAAAGTGGTCTCGGTGTCAAAACATCGTTCTAGTGTTCAGAAAATCCCAGTTCTCGCCCAAAGCCTCATTTGTCAAAGAGGTTTGCTGCTCTTCGATTTGAATTAGCATTTTCATGGTAAGGCAACATGCAGTAGGGGAGAAAGAATCTATGTCCAAGCAAAGCTAAGTATCTTGTCGAAAAGGCATAACACGCTTTTAAAAAATAGCTAAGCTGGATCATGGAATAATAAAAAAATTTCTTTTTAAACATCCCAGATTCAAAAAAAAAATGTTAACAAAGATAAAAATCAAAAACAGTCCCATTTATATAAAAGAATTAAAAACTTTAACAAATTTAGGGAAAACTGGTTTGCAAGCATTGTTATTATTGCACTCTAATAATGGTGGGATGAAACTGAATATAGAGATTAAAGACATTAAGAGACGAGACTTGTATTTTACTAAATCAGCCAAGTAATATATGCATGCAGCATATTCCGTAATGGCCGTTCTTATTAATTACAGGGTGTTCTTTAATCACCACCCCTAATAATCAAAGAAGTCCTTTATTCATCGCACTTATAATACTCGCAGAATCATTTTTAATCACTACCCTTAATATTGGCAGGGTGTCTTTTAATCTTCGCTCTTAATAAGCGCAAGGTGTTCTTTAATCACGGCCTTTAATATTTGTAGGGTGCAATTTAATCGCCGCTCTTAATACTCACAGTTTGTTCTTTAATTGCAGCGCGTATAATATCCATTGTGTTCCTTAATCCTCACAGGGTGTTCTTTAATACAAGCTTTTAATATTTACTCTGAACACTCTTTAATCATCGTCCTTTATATTCGAAGGGTGTTCTTAACTTACCACCCTTAATAGATAAATTTAGAATCCATTTATTTGCATGATCAAGAACAAATCGAAATCTGACGAATCACTACTGAGAATGGCGGTGGAAAAAACGCCAAAACCAGTTTGAATCCTAAATAAAAATTCGGCGTGTTTCTTGTTAGTTTGACTATAACAGCCAAACCAAGCAATTATTTAAAATTTTTATTTATATAACGCCTGAATGCTATGGTGCTAGGTTGCGATTGAATGCTAGGTTTGATTCTATTCAGCTAAAGCTCCTTGTGTGCTTTTTGTTTTCAAAAATTTGGCTCTTTCGATAATTATGGGGCACGTTTTAAATCCTATTTGGTTGAAAATTTTGTGCGAGCCTCAGGGGATAGAGCTTTCGCCTTCCAATCAGGTGAACCGGGTTCGAATCCCAGCGATGGCTGGTCGATACGAATTCCGCATCCGACCACAGTGCTGATGTGAAATATCCTCAGTGGTAGACGGATCATGGGTTAGAGTCTCCTTGTTGTCAGACTAACTGTGGGAGGTTCTCGTTGTCTTCCTCTCCATGTAGCGCAAATGCAGGTTAGTTCCATGAAAAAGTCCTCCACGAAGGCAAATTTCTCTCAATACTTGATCCAGGAGTTCCCTTGTCTTCTGGATTGGGTTCAAAATTACAAGGGACGGTGTTGAACATTGATAGTCTTAAACCCGAAAATTGGGTCGGCTGTTCAACGACGGTTGTAAAAGTAAAATTATAAACTTAATTTCACGTACTTAAATCTAGGGGTAGAGACATAATCGGATCTAAATCTTTAGAGTGTAATCATCATTCATATGTATAATTTGACTTCAGTACATTTTAATTTTTATGTTTATCTTAAAATTAATTCGTGTATTTATTCCATATATTTAAATTTTTAATCGAAGTCAAAAACAAAGCAAAAGAAAAAAGCGTAGAGTGTAAAAGGTGGTCAGAGAGGAATATGTGAGGGAGGAAATGAAACAAAAACGCTATCGAAATTCGTCGAAAGCGGAAAAACTTCAAATCCAACATAGAGGCATTTCGTATAAAAACCTTCTCAGTTAGTTCTGTCTATCAAGCAAATTATTTTGAGGAAGACGGGGCTGAAAACGCTACTACAAAACATTATTTTAATGTTTTCTGTCCCGTCTTCCTCAAAATAATTCGTTATATTTCGATAGTTTTTTTTATAAAAGAATTTTCCAGATTTTAATATTATTTTCGTCTTAATTTTTTAAAACAGGATTCTATAAATATATATTAAGGGCAGTCGTTACGGAACACATTGTATTTTATTTTCAATGTATTAAAAAGCTATGTTTAATCCAAAATATATATTTTTAAAAAGTGGGAAAACATTCTTATAATTATTTTCATACAAAACAAACAACTGAAATAAACAATTTTCCGTGTTATATTTGGAACATCTTATGAATAGAAAAATGTGTTTTTAAAACCTCTTCTTAAGGCTGTTTCTTATTATTTTCCAAAATTTTGCTTAACAGGTTATTTCACTAAGCTCTACAATTATAGTGATAAAAAAAATCACAAAATTTTAGCTTAGGGCAAAAGATATCAAATGTCTGATTTATAATTTTAGAATATTTAACAAAAATTTGGGGGGGGGGGATAGNGCATATTGACTGAAACATCCCTGAGGATGATCCGAAGACTTGCCATCCCAATTTTGATCCTGTGCAGAGTGGATGGCTTCCCTGCTTTAGTAGCCCGACAAACTGCACACGAAGTCGAGCTCTTTACGGTAGAACACTTTAATTAGGATCAATACCGCGCACCCTAGGTCCTTACGCAGACTGATCAAAGTGGTCACCCACCCACTTACTGACTGCAGCCAGTGATGCTTGACTTTGGGGTTCTACTGGGAGCTGTGCCCTTTCGATCAGTTCACTGCGGGACGTATATTGACTTTGACCAAAATTTTATTTTAAATTAATATGGTATTAAATTTAAAAACTATTGAACTCAAAGTTACAACAAGTGGTGAAAAAAAAATTCTACTTAAATATTAACCACTATTGTGCTTAGTTTAATTTTAAGAGAGATATAAAAAGGGCAGCAGTTGTTACAGTAAGGTGATAAATTATAAGATGATCAAAGAGGAACAACGAAAAATAAATAATTTATTATTATTTTTAAGTGTACAACAAATGAACACATTTCAAAAAACTACTTTAAAAGATGCAGCAAGTCTACAAAATTGATTTTCAGCTCTAAAATATCTTCGATGGCTTCATTTTGATAGTACTAAGGCGATTGACTTCAAGCTCCTCTGAAATTAAATAAAAACAAACATTAAGGAAGATAGAAATATAGAAAAATGACAGGAGGCTCCCAAGTATCCAGGCATGCAAAAGAGACAGTAATAGTAGTAGTTTATTTACATCGCACAAGAGCAGCACAATGGCAACATGCCTAAAGATGATCCAACGACACGCCATCACATGTTCTTTTAGTTCATTTCAGGGAGTTTATTTCCTCACAAAAATATAGAAATAACATTTTCTTAGTGCCAGTATTTTATCTTTTAAGGATAAGTTTTAGCGCTGAATCATGTTGGTTCTATAGTGACGAATCATCGAATCTGTGTCAAAACACAGAAAGCCAATAATGAAACGCGTTGCGCAAATACAGTCTGTATTCATTTTAACTATTTTCAGAACTTATAAAACCTTTCTCAGTACTGACAAACTACTTTTTTTTTCTGGTAGCATTAAGATAGTTGCAAGAATGATTTATTAGAAACCTGTTATTTTGTATATTAAATATCTATTAAATAATCTGTGATGGTACTTAATCATACTCTGCACACACACAATCATTAATCTGAATTGCTTCATAAATGTTGGCTTTCTATTAAAACTAAACTCAGTGGAGCGACAGCCCGGCAGCCCATATCAGTTTTTTTTACCTTTGTATCTGCAAGAGCAGATGTTCCTGTTGGATGGTCAGTCGAACGTGGAACTTCTAGTGTTTAGTTCACAAGCATGCTTGGTTCTCCTTTTATCGACCCACTAAAGGAATGAAAGGCTGAGTCAACCTTGCCCAGCTCAAGGATCGAACCAAGGACCTGTGACACGAGAGTGAAAAAGCGCTACCACTCAGCCACCGGGTGTCAGTTTCCTATTAGTTACTAATTATTTTTAGATTGCATCTAAAAATAATCTAATAATACAGTCAAACCCCGCTACCTTAAAGAAACCAAAATTTCGGTTCACTATAACCGGAACTTCAGTATATCCGTTCCCCAAATAATTTAAACTCATGGTTCCAAACTCCCCCCTTTTATTACACATCATTTAAATAAATGACTCATAAAATTAAATAAAAAAAGGACTGAAAAATAATACATAGTAACAAAAAATGTGTTAACTTATATTTTTTACTAGTCATCGTCTTGCGTACAAAAATAATTAGTAATATTTAGCTGATGAGCAATCCTTAACATCAGATATGGAGACACTTCCCGACTCTCTGATAATTTTTTCTGAATTTTTGTTATTCCACTTTTTAAACCTGTCTAACGAGCTATTAGAGCACATAAAATTAGATTGCGGCATCTTTGAATGCTGAACCAATTCAATAATGCTATTCAATAATGAAGCAAACGAGAAAAAATGCTTGTTGCTACATTTCATGTTATAGAAGGTTTTTAAAATCGGTATATGTATTTATTTTGAAGTAGAATTTTCAAACTTATTACAAAACAATGAAGAAAATCAGTCGAGACAGAAAAAAGTTCCCAATATCGAACTTCCTCTCTTTTTTTTGGTTCAGTATATCCACAAAAACGCCATTATACGCCATGTGTAGCAAGGCACAGGAGCAAAAATTTCGTTCATTATATCCGGGAGTTCACTTTAAACCGTATTCACTATATCGAGGTTTGACTATATATAAATCAAACATTTATAAGAGCACTGATTTATTTTTTTTTTTAAATTTAAACTACTAATTTATTTATTTATTTTTGTAAAATTCATAGACAGCATTATTCGTGTATATTTTAAGAAATAAAATAAATTACTTAAATCAAAATATGTGTCTGAATGGTAAAAATTTTTTTTTTAAACAGGAGGCTTACTTAAGAGGCAAAATTGCAGCAAATACAAGAATGCAAACTTAAAAAGAATTTGAAACTAAAATTAAAATCTAAAACAAAATTTAGAAACCAATTAAATATTACAGTTATTAAATATTATTACATTTCTCACAAAGATAAGTTAAATTTAATGAAAAAATATTACAAAAAATAAAACACTAGTATTCTGATTTACTCTAACCATAATAAGCTAAATTCAATTTCTTCAAGAGATGGAATGGAAATCACAGTTACTTATATTATTTACAAAGAAGTAAATGGGGCTTAAAAACAAACCAATAATGATCATATACTATAGATAACAACAAGTTGAAATATAAATTCAAGATTAATAACTATAATAAAAGTTATTGATCGGTACTGATTCCTAGTTTCAATAGCATCGGGTTGTAATAATATTTCGTTTTACCAGTGTAGATGGTATCAATACATTTCTATTACAACAATGTCACTTTGCTTTTGTGACAAATAAAATTTTATAATAATTAAAATTTTTAAGAATACATTTCCTGGACTGCAGCTTGGGATACTTAAGGTATGCTCCTTGAAACATACCCTAATAATTAAAAAAGGTTAATTTATTCCAAAAAAAAGGACACTTATGTGTCAAATTTTGTAGCTTAATTTAGTGTCTGCATTGGCATACTTAAGGTATACTGCTTGAAACATACCCTACTGATTAAAAAAGGCTAGTTTATTTAAAAAAAAGGACACTTATGTGTTCAATTTTGTAGCTTAATTTAGTGTCTGCATTGGCATACTTAAGGGATACTCCTTGAAACATACCCCAATAATTAAAAAAGGTCAATTTATTCCAAAAAAGGACACTTTGTAGCTTAAGGACCAATTTTGTAGCTTAATTTAGAGTCTGCATTGGCATACTTAAGGTATGCTCCTTGAAACGTACCCCAAAAATTAAAAAAGGCTAGTTTATTCCAAAATAGGACATTTATGTGTCCAATTTTGTAGCTTAATTTAGTGTCTGCATTGACATGCATAAGGTATGCTCCTTGAAACATACTCCAATAATTAAATCAAAAGTTATTCAGCATTTTTGCCTTCCACAGTATAAAGCTTATTAAAGATTGTATATTCTACAAAATAAATAAGGCAAAAGGACAATTCTATGGTGACTGACGTTATATTGTAATACGTTTTCTTTGTGTAAAATTTTTTTTCATTAATAAATATCTAATATCATGTTTAAAAAAATTATATGGGATGTGTTTCAATAGCTTGATATTATTATGCATATAAGTAAAAGGAATGAAGATATTAAATGTTTTATTTAAAAAAAAAATACAAAATATGACTGATGTTACATTAAAAGGAAATGGAGTAAAACATCATATTTTCATTTTGAAATTCTCTTTCTCCTATCAGCAATGTTTTTTTTTTCCCTTCAAATTTATTTAAAAATGAAACTGGGCAATTCCATGAAAAGGGGGAAAAGCATTGGAAAATTCAAATAAGAATGATGCTATTATTTTGGATGTTTTCTGAATTAGAAAGGTTTGAAGTTTGATAATTTATCATAATTTTTTTTGAGAATTTAGTTTTTTAGTATTGGCAACCCATTGAACATTGGCATTTGCTGGTTCTGATTTGGGTGAAGAACATGGTCAGATTTTGAAAATCAGTAAGTTAACATTATTTTCATTTAAAATTGTTCCAAAGAATAAATATTGTTTATTACACTTAATAGAAATATTGCGTAGTGTAAAAATAAGTTTTTGTTGCTAAATTCACTTAATTATATAAATTTCAAATAAACATTATTGCATGCAACGTAAGTTACCGAAAACTAGAAGAAGTTTTTATGTGTAAAAAAGATCAAGTGATACAAAAGTAAGAATAATATTTTTCCTTTCTTAGAATCTAACACCAAATAAGCAGCAATAGTTTTCTTTTCAAATATTACTTATTTATTGTTTTGTGCACTATTCAATATGTGTAACATAAGTTACTGACATGCATGTAATGTAAGTAACCAATGTGAAATGAGTCCTCTTGAAAATTGGCATATAAAGTAAATAAGATGTATCCAGTTACAATACCAAAGTTTAAATGAATTATCCACTGCCTTAAGATATTAATTTTAAGGAAAATCTTTGCTTTGAGTTATTAATTTGGGTGTTGGCATTCATATGTTTTAAAAATTGGAGAAATCTCTCGACAAGCACGAGGAGTTAAGGATATAGTTAGAGATGCTAATGGTATCAAAAAGAAAGTACAAAACACGACGTCTTCTTCATTCAGTTCGAGAAATGCACAAAATGCTTATGGAAGAAAATCCAGATTGCAAAATTGGAAAAACTAAATTCTTTGAGCTCCGTCCAAAGCATGTCTTGCTTAGTAGCAAACTTCCAAGAAATGTTTGTCTTTGTAAGTATCATGAAAAGTTCAGATTGACTAGGAAGCCTTCAGCAAAATTCATAATGTTCCATCTTTCGAAATTCTTTAAAAATTTATTTTATGTTTAGAAAAAATATATATGAGTGCGAGTCTCTAGAACAGATGAGTGGAGTGTCTAGTCTATTCTCAAAAGCATCACAGATTAAAAACATTAAGCAAATCCACCATTTAAGAGTACAAGAAAGCATACCAGAAAAGTTTTTTTAGTGAAAGATGTTAAAAGAGAAAATGATGAATCCAAGATAAAAGCTGAGGGTTGATATATGGTGAGATACGAGGACATATCTGTTGAAGAGCAAGAACTTAAAGTCAATGTAATGGCTGCTGTGGGAATCTATAGAAAAAAGAGATGAAATATTCTACCAGAAGGAAAACATGGTGAAAAGAATTGAGCCCCCTGTACTGGGTAATAACAGAGGACCTTATAAGTTTGCAGTTATGTGTGATACAAAAGTTTCTGAATTTGCTTCATGTACACTTTTTCTCCCTTGCACTATACTGTTTAAATATCTTAATTTGCACTTGTACATTATTGGGATAAAAGTTGGATACAAAGTGAATTTCGCAATGTAAGTTACTGTAACGTAAGTTACCCATTTAAAAAATTATATTTAATTTATTTTATAAATTAAAATCTTAAATCTAGGCTTAAGAAATATTTAAACATATCAGAAAAATGATACATATAATCTTAATTATGCAACATTTGTATAAGAACAGAATTTTGCCTTCAAGCATATTGCAAATTTATGCCATTCCTTTTTCGGTAACGTAAGTTACCACACTAATTTTAGGNAAGAAATATTTAAACATATCAGAAAAATGATATATATAATCTTAATTATGCAACATTTGTATAAGAACAGAATTTTGTCTTCAAGCATCTTGCAAATTTATGCCATTCCTTTTTCGGTAACGTAAGTTACCACACTAATTTTAGGTTTTTACACTGTTTAAATTAAAAGATATTATTTGTTTTAATTAGATTCCTTTTGGTTTCGATTGTAATTTTAAGAAATCACTTAATTTTAATGTGCTTATTAGTATTATTTGCCTGCTTTTAAGTTCTCAGTGCATTAAAGTTTATGTGAACGTAACGTAAGTTACCGTAGAATAGCCCAACTTTAAATTGATGGGTAACAATGAAAGTACACATAAAATGAAGTATGAAAAGTGGTAAATATATCAAAAGCTCTTGTGAATAATGTTACAAATACAAACTATATTAAAATTTTAATAAACTTTTCATCACTAGTACAACATAATTAAAAACTACAATTCTTGATTTTATATCTAAAATAGTTAATAAAAAACTAAGAAATTTTTAGATAAAGAGCTATTAAAATTTATGTTGTTGTCATATGTATTTAAAATTGTCCAAAACTCTAAAAGATAATTTAAAGTTTTTTTAAAGATAATGTTTAACTGGATAGTAACTAAACAAATCAATTAAGTTAAGCTTTACTTTAAAAATTAATGTTTCTTTTAAAACAAAGTTAAAAATTAGGAAGAACCTTTAAAATATGAAAATAACAATGAATAATAGTATTACAGGAAGCAAACGTACAGATTTTACTATTCTTAGAAATCTACTATCCTAGGTATCCTTAACATCTCACTGTCTTTGATTGTAATGGAATGTGCAATATTTCTATACAAATAATTCACCAACAATGATTTCTCTTCTCCAAGGCATGGGTCATAAAATCCAGGCATATTGCTCTACATAAAATAGAAACAAATTTCATGAAATATAAACATTTTTATATTAACAGTATGCTATAAAAAAAATTTAAACATTAAAAAAATTTGCAAAATAGCTACTTTCCAATATTTTGCAGATTTTTTGAATACCTTAACTTGCACTAATGAATTTAATGCAATTTAAGGCACTCTTGAGTTAGTGCCTTATTATTTTAATGTTAATAACAATAGCTCTGCTTTCATCATGTTTTATATTTGAGACTGTCCATAAATCAGGGTTGGCAAAAATCATGATTTTTTTAAATAAAGATAAAAAAAAATCTGATTTATTTGATGCAAATCATGTTTTGTTGATTTAAATCAGACATTTTTTACTTTTTTGCATTTACCAAAAAAGCATCTAATGAAACTTTTAATAATACTTTTACAATCAATCCAGCTGTTTAATGTTTCTTAACAGCTATTTTGCAGACATTCACGTCTTTAAATATTGAGAAATAATTGTAAAAAAATGCAATGTTTATTTTTAAAAACTTTTTTTAACTTACTAACCATGAATTTATTAAATATAAAACATTAATGCACCGAAACATCAGGATGCATCAAAATATCGTGATGTTAGAGTGCCGATATGTCGCAAAACCAAAATCTTAACACCTCCCAGCCCTATTCAGGGGTTCTTCCAATATTAAGTAAGCACCTGAAAGGGGCGGGGTTATGTGATTTATTCATTTTAGCTAACAAGGGGAGAGTTTCCAAAACTGCCAAAAATATGCTCACGGAATATTAGAACAGCCCCTCATGTCATTTACATTAACTCTTATTAGTCATTTTTAGAAAATAAAACTGTAGTAAATGAAACCAAATTAAAACAGTTTAGGATGATCACTGAATATTCAGTGATTACATACCTTGGGTCTATCAGGAAGAATAAGCCTTGAATCTTTAACTAAGCATTGGAGTTGTACTGTTGTATTAGCAACTTCCAAATTTGAATCAATTTGCCTGAAAAATTAATATAACTTGGCTGTATAATCAATATAGAAAATATTTTAATGTTACTGCATAATCAGCATGGAAAATAACTCTAGACTTAAAAAAAAAAACATTGAAAATGATTTTACATTGCCATGTAATCAGCATTGAAAATATTTTACATTACTTTATAATGAGCACTAAAATAATTTATCGCTGCTATATTATCGACAGAAGAAATAATTCAATCTTGTCACATTATCAGCCTCAAAAAAATAACTTAATATAGTTTTATAATCACAGAGTGGTCAACAACTCAGAAAGAATAATTTCAATACTCAGAAAGAATAATTTCAAACACTCAGAAAGAATAATTCCCATACTGATTTTATCATATTTCTTCCATTTTAATATAATACTAAACTCATAAGTAAGGCCCGGATTTTGATGACATTTGCATTTTTTTGCATTTTTGGACATTTTTTGTCCTTTGGAGCATTTTTTAAGATTTATAGGGCATTTTTCTTTAAATTGTTTGGCGTATTTTGCATTTTAAAGCATTTTTTAAAAATTTTTGTTAATTTTTTCCAATTTGTATTATTTTTTTATCATTTTTTATTGTTACACTTGCTTCCAAAATATGAAAAAAATCTCTAGGATATTAGCAGGTGAAGCAACATCTTTTCAAATTGAAGAAGAATTGTCAGTGTGAGACCGTCTTTTTCAAGTAAGCACCAATAACATCAGTAGACGTTGAAAGAAGCTTCTCCAGGAATAACAATTTACTTTCAGACAAGAGACGCTCGTTTACATTTCAAAATATCAACAAAAAAAATTTAATAATCCAATGTAATTCTGATATTTAGTAATATTATGAGATGGAAGTTGTTATATTCATTAAAGTTTCTTTACAAAATGAAAATGTTTTGGAGTCAATATATTTTCCTTTTTTTTTTGTTATTTTAGGATGTAAAACATATTTTTCAAACTTTAATGAACGTAGAACCAGTATTGCATTGCTTTATATTTTTTTAAATGACTCATAATAATTTTAAAGAGTAAAACATTGTTTTAGTTTAATATTTTTATTTAATTCACATCATAAGGCATTTTTAGCGCAATTTTCACATTTTAAAGGGCATTTTTCGCACTTTTTAAGGGCATTTTTCGCATTTTTTTAAGGGCATTAATTGAAATTTTTTAGGTCATCAAAATCTGGGCTCTACTCATAAGCATGCATTTAAAGTTAAAAATAAAGAATTTTCTTTCTTTTTTTAAAAAAAAAATTGACACTTTAAACTTAAATTAATCCTGACTTTTTGAGTATTTTAATGAAATCCCCTGACAGATAAACTTTGCTCTTCCGGGTTTTCCTGTTCTGTGGCTACTTTGAATCATAATTAAAAATAGCTTATCAGTGCCATACAATCAGCATTGTAAACAATTTAGCACTGTTATATAATCAGCATTGAAAATAATTTAGTTAAATTATATAATCTTTAATTATAGAATTAAAAACAAAGAATTTTCTTTCTTTTTGAAAAAAAATATTGTAAGAGAATTTATTTTTTCGAAAAAAAAAATCAGGAACTTTAAGCTCAAATTAATTACTTTACCCTGACTCTTTGAGTATTTAAATGAAATTGTCTGACATTTTCCAAATTGATAAACTTTGCACTACCAGATTTTCCTGTTCTGCAGCTACTTTGAGCCATAATTGAAAATACCTTATGATTGCTATACAATCAGCATTGTAAACAATTTAGCTCTGCTATATAATCAGTATTGAAAATAATTTAGTTTAATTACATAATCAGCACTGAAAATAATTCACCCAAATACATAATTAACCGTCACAGCTCGATAATAAGTATTGGAAATAATTTAACAATGAAAATAATAAATCGTCTTACTCCATATTCAGGTTAGATATGCTGTCTGTATTGCCATAAATAGCCATCGTTATGATTAAACCGTTTTTCCGTTTTTCTTCTTCCACAATTCTTTTATATGTTTCTTGCATTAACGAGACCTGGAAAATTTGAATTAAATAGAAATTGAGCAGATAATTTTGTTAAAAAAGTTATAAAATAGTTCAGAAATTATTCCTAATATGCAAATGCCTCATTCAAAATAGTTTTTGAATAGGGCATAAGTATTGGGTTGAAAAAAAATTACTAAAAAAAGGAGTGAAAAAATTTTACTTAGACAATTATTTTGATTGAGGCATTGGTATTATTAAGTGTCCTTTTTATATTATTATTAATTATTGGGTTATTATTAACTGCGCCAGATTTATTTTAATCCTTCTAAAATGGAAAAAAATATTTCAAACTCATACTCTTAAACAAGTTAAACAACAATTTTAGATCATTTATAAAATCTATACATTGGCAGAAATTGAAATTAGCTTCAAACAAGATCAATTTTATAATAATTATACGATTTTATAATATTTATAAAATCGTTCTTGTCTAAAGGTAAGTTCCATTTCTGTTAATACGCACTTTTTTTTATAAATAATGTAAAATTGTTTAACTTGTTTTTTAACTTAGTTTTTAATTTTGCAAATTTTTTTGATTTTATTATTTATTTATTTTTAAATATCGAAGAATTTAAATGTTACATTATAACTTCACAAAAATATAAGTAAATACAGTACTTTTATTAAAACAAAGAAATATGACATAGTATGCAAGGAAACATTGCTTTATCTATTCTGGTTCATTTTATATTTAATCAATAATTATTATGGAAAATAAAAGCTGACAGATTAAATTAATTAACACGTAGGCATTCTTAATACTTTATTTAAATGAAATTATTTAAACTAACTAAATTTTTTGCTTAAAGTTACAAAAACTACATTTAAATAAGTCATTTTAATTATACTTTGACCTTCTGATAGTCTAGCTTATAGAAAACTATTTTTTAACCGGCATGCTTTTTTAAATAGTAAATTAGTTTTCCTACAATTATTTTATGGAACAACAATATAGAAAGAAATTCCAATAAAAAACTTATTTGTTTGTAAAATAATGAAAATAATATATTGGTATATTAAGTTGCAAAAATGTATATAAATAATTTTGGAAAACTTTAAATCATTATAAAAATCCATCTTTCAACATGCACATTTTTCTATATAGTACATTATTTTTTTGAATGCCATCAAATTGTGAAATTTTAGAAAGAATAGAAATATAATTACACATTTGCTTATTTTAAAAATAAATAACTAATAATGGAAATTAAAGCTTTTACAAAATTATAAACACATAATTCTAACTTAAAAAACTTGATAATGTTTAACAAAAGTTGCACTTACAGCAATAGCAGCTTCTTTTCGTTTTTCTGCCATCTTTTGTGCATTAGCTTCTTTATTTTTCTCCGACTCCCTGGAGAAAAAAAAATATTTATATTTAAAATATAGGGTGAATAGTACAATTCTACATGTGTCGACATTGGAGGAAAATTGGCTGTGTCAGATAGTTTTATTTAGGATCTATATTGGCTGAATAATGGCGTTAAAATACTGGGTGAATCGTACAGTATTATATCTGGTATCTACTGGTTGAGTTATGGCTATAAAATAGCGGATCAATTGGGACAATTTTAAATGGGGTCTATATTGGCTGAATAATGGCTAAAAAATGCTGGATGAATTGAACTATTCTGTATAGGGCCCACATTGACTGTAAAACAGCTTTAAAATATTGGGTGAATTGTACAATTTTATGTAAGTTTAATATTACCTGATAAGGGCTTGTAAAATATCAGGTTTATCGTACAATTTTATGTAGGGTTTACATTGGATGAATAACAGCTATAAAACATTGGTTTAGTGGGACACCTCTATATCGAACCAACATAGGCTGAATAATGGCTATAAGATATTGAGTCAATCGTTCAATTTTATGTAGGGACTATATTGGCTGAATAACAGCTATAAAACATCGGCTGAGTCAGACACTTCCATATCTAATCGACAGGAGTTGAATAACGGCTACGAAATATCGGGAGAACTTAACAAATCTGTATAATACTGATATTAGCTAAATAAGAGCAATAAAATATCCAGTAAATTTACAATTTTATATAGGGTAAACATTGAATGAATAGTGGCTAAAAATATTGGGTGAATCGGGCATTTCCATATTGGTCAAATATTGGAAAATAATGGCCCTTTAAAACCTTGATGAGACAAAATTGGTGAATATTGACCCAATGAGTTCCCAAGCTTTTTTGCTGCTAGGTTATATTGACAACTGCGTAAATATTACCAAATCCTGGTAATTATTGAAAGAATCGAGAATATTTTGCACAGAGTTATAAAATTAGTTTATACAAAGATAATTTTTCAAAAGAAAAAAAAAATATTCAGTAGTTATTTAATATTTTTGTTTTAGCATAGTTTAATAGTAAAATAAAATCCTTGAATTGTTAATCCTCTCTCTATCTGAAAGGGATTGATAACTTTATGTTGCAGTCAGGGTGCACTAAAGACGATGCTATTAATGATTTACTATTAAAGTTGAATGAAAATTAAATTAGAAAAAAAAGTTCTTTTAAAAAATACTAAGCACCTCAAGCTATCAAACCTCTTCTCATTTTTTGAATCTTACTTATTTTTATGATAAGAAATATTAAATGCAAACCCCGGTAAAAAAAGGGGGGAACGTAATTGTCCATTTATTTAAGATAGTTCTATCTTTCATAATTGTTAAATTTGTTTTCACACATAATTATATCAGTTAAGGGTAATTTTAATTGATGCTAAATTTTATTCATCGATCCCATTTTCAAGACCCCAAAACAAATGGCATTTCTGCACCAAGAAAATGACACTGAGTTAAGTTAAAATTGCTCAAGAAAAATTATGTTCCTCCGATATCATTTTGAAGTCAATGAAGGTAACCCCTAAGAACTATCAACCTCTATTAACGACCATTTACTATGGAATAGAAATTGCTCGCTAATGAGAGGCTTCACTGCATATATATAAACATTGGTTTCATAATACTTAAGAAGTATTAATTTGGTGGCCCAATCTACTTATGTTGCCATGCTCACATTGATCATGAAGTTTATCTGGCTTAATAAAAAAGATCTAGGAACGGGCAACAAACTACTTTTATTAATGAGTGCTATAACCAAGTGAGTATCATTGAGGCTATCTGCAGTTATATCAATAGTTTATATCAATGGCACTAGTTCAATGTCAATGAAAAAATTTCATATTTTAAATCTCTCTCCTTAACGATCTAAGTAAAATTTTCGAACGATTTTTCAGTTTCGGGGCTAAAATTGATCCTTTCAATAAGTATCCAAAATTCAGGACAATAGAGCAAACAGTTCTTCTGCAGTTATAAGATAGACTCATAAACTCTTCATTTTATTATTATAAATGTAATTTCCTCAAATCAAAATTTCGTAAGACTTTACTCCAGCTATAAACTTAAAATTTCTTAATATCATTTTTCTATCCATCTAAGATCAATAACTTACTTTCAAGAAAAACTATTCAAAAGATGGTACATTAATTGAAACTAGAAAGGTTTTATAGCAAGGAAATGAATTATTTCATGTCAAAATCCGAATGTTATATGAACTGATTCTAAAAAATATGCAAAATAACAAATCTGTGTTTAAATAAAATATTTAAATGACTTACTTTTGTTTTTGTCTTTTGTTATATGGATCTATGAAACAGACTTTTAACATGTACCATCCAACTATAGGAACTGCTGTACCATAAAATATGGCACTCGGAAGTACCTCTTCTGATAACAGAATTGGAAAAATATACGACTGGTTTGCCCTTGTCACCCTAAAACAAAAAATATAAACATGAGTGATTTTATTTCATTAGGAAAGTTGAAAAAAATTTTCATAGGTAGTTAGAAAAAATAGGAACACTTTGAATGACTTTCGATCATGATTGGATTTTCACTCATTAAGACCCAAACATAATGGTTCAAGGTCAAGTGCTAAGAGAATATGTTAAGTTACAAAATCAGACACAAAAATGTACTTTCCCTGAATAAACGTTTCTTTTTTTGACGGATTTAGATTCTCGAATATGGAGAAGCTAAAATCTGGGTAGGTAGGTAGGTATTTAATTTATGTCACACAAGAGTTGCTCAATGGGTTATTGGCGACGGTCTGGGAAACATCCCTGAGGATGATCCGAACATTGATCTCCAGCAAAAGGGATGGCTCCCCTGCTTTGGTAGCCGACGACCTGGGTGCAAAGTTGACCGCTTTACAGTAGAAGATTTTAACGCGGACAGATACCGCACACCCTCGGTTCCTACGCTGGCCGATCAAAGTGGTCACCCTCCCGCTTACTGACCGCAGCCAGTGATGCTTGACTTCCGTGTTCAACTGTCTTTCAGATCAGTCAACCGTGGAGATCTGGGAAATAGGGTCCCAATAGTTTGGTCATGAGAGCGGTTGAAAGTTTAGAATTATTATTAAAAAAACGAATTTTAAAATTGTGTGCAAAAATTTTTTGATTTGCTTAAAAAGTTCACAAAGTATGGCAAAATACCAAAAAAAAAGTAAAATTAACATTAAAAGGTCCAAACTTTTAACTGCTTTCGGGACCAAAGAATTAAGACTATTTCCCATATTGTGGCTACCTTCCCTATTTTGGGGGTCAGAGATCAAAATCTTTTTATTTTTTAAAAAAAGGCATGTTTATTCTGTGAAAATACTTTTTTGTGTATCATTTTGTAACTTATAATATTCTCTGCACTAATTAATTAGCATATTAAAGGTTAGCTCCTGATCAATTATAACTGTCATACTCGAGATAATTCGAGCGTCGTTGTATTTTATGCTGTTATAATTTTTAACACTCGAATATAATCGAGAATTGAAAATAACAATTTTAAAGCTAAGAAAAAAATCATTTTATTGATATTTATCATTTACATAGGATTGTAAGCTATAACACTAATTTATTCAAGAATAAAATATAGCCTCTTTCCATGGAACAAAAGCGTAGCATATCAAAATTGTCGACTGAAAGAAAAGTTGAACCCGGAGCAGAATCAATTTTTTTACATAAAAAAAATTAGATTTTTTTGGCCGGTTTTTTTCAAAAAGAACTGTGCTAAAAAATTACAATACAGAGAGTGTGTAGTGTCACAATTATAGTAAAATATGCTTTTTTGAGAGAAGTTAAAGCAGATATTGTAACATACATGTGTATTGCATACAGATATTGTAACATTCATACATTAGAGACAAAAGAGCAACTTTTTAACTCCCTTCCGAGAATCTGAAGAAAAAGATAAATTTTCTTGAAAAAAAATTAGTATGTTTAGAAAAGACAGGAAAAATAGCTTTGGGTCTGTAATGGAATCGGTTAATTAGATACTTTGGTTAATCAGAGTCTGAATAAACCTTGTTCTATTGTAAAACAAAGATCAAAATTGTAGGTGGTCCAAAATTTTAGTCAGACCACCATAAAACAATTACATAGATGCCAACCTTAGGAATCAAAAATTAGGAACACTATATGCGACAAAATTATATGCACCCATTACGAGAGAAAGACAAAAATTTAACTATTAAATAATAACATTAATAGACATATACTTTAATACCTTATGTAAATTAGTAAAAACAAATTATAACCACTATCTTTTGTGGGAAATTTATAATATTAATATTTTATAATTAGGAATACCGGTATAATAGTTTAAAAACAACCATTACCTATTAATATATAATTATTCTTCTCCAAATTATAAAACACAGGTAAATATTAAACTACATCATAAACAAATATTTATGATACAAATGTTTAAATACTATGATAAATTTTTTAACAGTTGTTTACAATTCAATTTAGTGAAATGATCAGCAACAGCTATTGGAATAGTATTTTCCAATAAAAAGTCACTAAAAATTACTTCTGCACAATAATCACAGGAAGCGCAATTGTGGCGATCAGAACAAAAGATTGGTTTAAAAGCAAAAATACTGCAATTTTACGAAATTCAGATTTTTTATTAAAATATCAGATTTTCAGATTTGATTTAAAAATTAGGAACAAATCAGTAAAATTCTGGACAGTTGGCAGCTATGCAATTACCAGTGTTCCTTCAACCAGTCATCTTTGTATAGGGGTGGTATACTGTTTTAGTTTTTTAATATTTAGTTTAATGTGTTGGTCTATGTTTTTATAGTTTCTGAAATATACTAAAGAACATTAAACAACTGGAATGGGGCAGAGTTCCTTAACTGTTTTGTTTTCAATGTAAATATTTGCCTCTTTTTGAGGAGATTTTCAAAGCTAGGAAAGAGGTTGGACAGGTATAAAAAGCACTGCTTAGAGAGGAACAACCAGGCTTCAAAACTGGTATTTGTTCAGATTTTTAATGAAGATGAGGTAAGTATGTTTAAGCTGCAAGCTTGGTTAATTTTGCAATGTCACAAAATGAAAAGATGACTAGTTGTCTAATGAAAATTCTAAGATTAGTAAAAATTATAGTGGAAGATTGGACAGGTCTTCCTCCCAGTAGCTCCAGTTAATCGGATCTTTAAAATTTTTTTTATATAAGTGCACAGTTGTTAAAAACCAATGGTAAGTGAAAAGCTTGTAGCTCTGGTTCCAGCAAGTGGATTTGAATGAAAATATAACTTGAGGTTTTAATAAAAAAGTTAAAAATTTTACCAATAGATGTTGTTGTAGTTCTAAAAACATGCATATACATAAGATGATAAAACTGTGGTACAATTTTAAGATATTGCTGATCCACAAGGTATGAAAAGAAGACTGTTCTCCTTTAAATTTTGAACAGTTTTGATTAACTTCACTACAGCTCAATCTGTAGGCAAAATTTTAAACTATTTTCCAAATAAAAACCTCTACTGCATGATCTACATAAAATACATGTAGATTTCCATTTAAATTTGTTTGGAAGAACTAGAGCTAAAAGTTCCTGAGTATCGATCATCAGTTTCTTTTAATCGCCCTGTCTTTCATGTATACTTTGGTCATAGTGGTTGAAATAAAAAAAAAATGTAATGATCATATGAAACTGTGATGTTTTCTAATGCAGTTAAACCTCCACACCACAAAATCAAGAGTTATTTTTCCCCTTGTTAATCTTCGTTTAATCTAAGGATTAGTTTGATAATTACTCACTTTAATTTCAAAGTAACACCAGAAGGCACACCAACTACCATAGCAGCACCAACATTACTTAATTTGGTCAACTTCTTTTCACACCCATACTCCAGTATAACACCAAATACTCCCAGCCTAAAAAAAAGAAAAAAAAATTTAAAAAATTATTTAAATTTAATCACATAAAAACAAGAGCAATTACATAATTTATTTTTGAGGTATTTTGAAGTTACTCACACGTCACATATAAAATTTAAAACCTATTTAAATTATAAAACAAATTGCTTAAAAAGCAAAATAGAAAAATCTATTATATAAGTTATTTATAAAATACAGAAGACTCTACATTAATCGGAATCCAATAACCCGTTCCTCCCTCCCCCAAAAAAAACACAGACTGCAGCTGTTGAAACAAGTGGGAAGACTGCATTCGTCTTAACTATTCTTTCCTATTGTATTGACTTTGACTTGTCCAGTCGACCTTAAGTACCGCCAAACAGTTTTACTCACATTCTGAAATGCTAGTGGGGTGGGACTTGTGGAGAAGTAAAATTATTAAAACAAATTACATTTTCTATCCTTTTATTCATCAAAATTTAGATGAATATGATTATTCACTCATCCGGGATGAAGCATTTCCCGACCATCTCAGTTGATTGAGAGTCTATTGTATTTATTCTTAATTTTATCTTCAATAAACTTTAATTGAAAGTTAAATTTATAAAATATTAAGTAATTATAATATAAATAAAATAATATGACATCTTACTTGTAAACTGACACTTAATAATTAAGTTTCCTGCTAATTACTATTTAAATTTTAAACTAGATAATAGGTCAAATAGTAAATAGCTAATTTTCAATTCATTTAAGTCCATAGAAATTTTTTGAGACATAATTTTTTGGTCTAACATTCATTTCTTTTAAAAAAAGCTTTTATTTATTAACGTAATTAGTTATTTTGAATAAACTTTTAACTTGAATTGTTACAGTGATTATTATAGTTATTATTTCTTATTAGCAATAATTATTATTAGGTTAGTAGTAATGTCATGTTTCTTATTTTCAAGCCAGATTTGAAAGTAATTTTTTTACAACGTGTTAACAAGAAGAAACGTGTTAAGTTACATGTCTACTTATTAATAAGTTTGTTTGCACTTTCTTGATTTAGACGCAAGAGCACTTTAGGCACTTTCTTGAGTTTCTCAAAAGAGTTAAAGTTCAAGCTTAACGAAGAGAATTAACAATGATTAGAGGTATAAACAATTTTAGATAAGATTCCTTATTATATTGACTGTCAAAGAACAAAGACAACATCACTGATAAAAAAAAATACCACTTCTTATAAAGACACATCCGATATATGGATGAGAGGTAAAAACAAGAGTCATTAATTGTAGTGCTTACTAGATGGCGCTAACCTAAGCAAACAACCAATGTGAGTGTGGTTTCCTACTTTTCAGCTCATACAGTCAATAGTGCCGCGTAATTAAAAAATCAACAAAAGCTACAAAAAATTTAAAATTGAGATTTTTATACATTTTTGTATAATAAGATAGGTAGAATCCCGAACCACCCCAGGGGGTATACTGAGATTAAAAGTTAAAATATTATATTAAATATTTAAACTAAAAATACAGTAAAATGTTGCCAAATGTCAGTAGTGGTGATCAATTAAAAGTGGATTAGCTTAATATTAAGGTAATAAAAAACACGATTTAAAATCAATGGAGGCTAAAAGTGCCAGTGTAAATGTCAAGAATTAAAATGATGATAATACTAAGGAAATTAAAGATAAAAATAAAATCATTAAACTAAAAGTCAATGAGAGCTAAAAGTCCCTAAGTGTAAAAATGGCTAAAAGTAAAAGTTGGAAAAGTTTCATGAAGTCTAAAATCACATGTAGACAAAAGTTCCAAATGAAAAAGAGGCTAAAAGTTGATCAGTATAAAATCAAGATGACATGTTCTATTGTTGGTTCATGACTGGGATCAGTTGATATGAGGCTCAAATGACTTCGAGGGTATGTTTCGATTTTTGTACGGTAAGCTAAATATTGCAAAAAAAATTTTTGTTTTTAATAAAATTCATTTCATCAGTTTTCTCAAAATTTATTTTCACATTCATAGCAATAGGAGGAAATTATTTATCAAGTCACTTTTCTCGGAATCAATTGTGAAGCAGTTACGTTGTTTTTTTAACTGCACGGCAGAATACTCTACAAACATTTTTAAGACTCTTTTAATATAACATAAACAAATACTTTAAATTTTATTTATGTTTTGGCAATTTCTTAGTGAAAATTGTTTAAGCAATTTAAAATTTGCAGTTGATTTTGCAGCCTTTAACTTGAGATGCACACTTTTCTGCTTTATGCATGCCCATTTCTTAACCTCTTACCCAAACAACTGTAATATTCAGTTTTCCATCCAATGCAGAGAAACGTAAAACAAATTTTCTGTGAGGCAGGCAGCCTGTCCTACCATATTGTTTCACTTTCTCCCCTACTTGCATTAATAAATATTTTATATTAATTTTAGTAAGTTGAGGAGTTTTGTTATATTAATATTAACATACAGAATATTGCACACTGAAAAATCGGGTAGTTTGGCATTAATGTTGTCAAATACTACAAATAAGATGAAGTTTATTTGATATTTTAATTTTAAACTAAATTGGTTGAAAAACACTACCAGTTAATTCATTTTAGATTGTACTAATAAAAGTCACTACAAATAAAGTTTTGGTACTTATCAGGGTTGGCATGATTAATTCAATCATTTTTTTTTTTAAATAACCCTTTGACTTAAGTCAAAAATATAAATCCATACATTATAATTTATCTATATTTATTGTAGTGATTTATTTTAAAAGTCTGATTTTATTGAAGAGAAATAATAAGATGGGGTAACATATGTAAATTATTTGATGGTCAAAATAAACTAACAAATAACAAAGCAAGATTAAATGCATGAAACTTTTAAATTATAAATTTACATTGGCTAATAAGATAATAAACTTGTTACAATTATATCCATTCAGTTATATGTTGATTTAAAAATTATATGTTTAGTTATGCGTTCTTTAAAATTTATTTGACAAGTAGTTTGTGAATAAAAATAATTAAGTCTTGTAAACAAGAGCAATTAAAAAATTTTGAGTTTTTTAAAAAGTTTTCCGATTTAAATTAATTTATTCGTCTTTATAAATCAACTGACAAATTGGGTATTCATCTTTAAAAATTTGTGAGTGTGTTGATCTTGAATAAAATAAGCTGTGATTTTATTGATTCAGTGATTGGTTTGTCTTAACCTCTTCATTATCTCGGTTCACTTATGAGAATAGATTCATTTCTTAGCTTCTAAAAACACACTAAAAGAAAATTAATAGTTTTACCATCACTGAAACATTCGTGAATATTTAAGCTTTCTGGGAATTTTGCAATAAATGCAGAACATATAAGTTATTTGGGTAGAATTCCACATAAACAGAAGCGATTTTCAAAAAATGACGCTAAATCCACATGCTCAAAAATGTGACTGATTTTAAGTATTACATAATTTAGTTATTCTAAGTTATTATTCGTTATTTTTTAGGTCAACAAGTCTTTGGAATTAAAAGAATAAATTTTTGCTTACTTGACTGCACATTTTAATCTTCCTTCATCTTCTAGCTTTTTTGTATAGCTTAAGCTAATATGACTTGTTCTAGGACTGAACTAAAATGTAATAAAATTATAACTATTAAAATAAAATATTAATAATAAAATAGAATACATGAAAATACAGATATCAGAATTTTTTGATTAAAAAAAATTGAGTTTCCTGCGCATTTGCTGTTTTGCTAACAGGAAAAAAAATTCAGTCTCTTTTTTTCAAGTACTAATCTTGTAACTTTACTACCTATTTTGTGTGAATATATATATATACAACAAAATAAATAAATACAAGAAAACACGAAGAAAGTTAAGAAAAACAATAAGTTTCATTTATTGCGCATAAGCTGCAAGTAAGCAGAACTCAGTAGATAAGTTCAAAATGAAGATAAAACAAAGGAAAATTATAGACATAAGAAAAAGGGGAGGGGAATAATAATGGGAAAAAAAATAACAAACTGGAAAAAAAAAGATTTATTTTCCGGATTTTTTAAAAAAATTTCATCCTTTTTCTTTTTCTTCCAGTTTTTTTTTTCATTATTATTTTCCCACCCCTTTTCATATGTCTATAATTTTCCTCTGTTTTATCTTCATTTTGAACTCATATATATATATATATATATACATATATACAATATAAGAAAGCACTCTGTTTTGCGGATATAATCGTGTGGGCTGATGAAAAGATTATATCTTTTTTTTACGGTTTTTTTAAGTAAAATTTCATCCTTTTTTTTTAAACTGTAGTTTGTTATTTTTTTACTTATTATTTCCCACCTCCCCTTTTTTCATACGTCTATAATTTTTCTTTGTTTTATCTTCATTGATATATATATATATATACAGTACAGAACCCGTTATCCGGAAATCAGAAAACCGGAAAACCAAAAAACCGGAACGAAATTCGATAAATTTTCCCGCCATTTTTTAAAAAAAAATTTTTTTTTTCTCATAAGATTTTAGGATTTTCTTTCTTTTTTGAAAGATGTTTACCTTACCATCATTTTGGAAATAATCATTAGTGTATTACTTCATCGTTTTTTCTTCTTTTTAAGATTATTTCCACAAAAAAAATTTTTATAGTCTGGTTTAACAATAAAAAAAACGGCTTTTTGTAGCGATTCAGAAAACCGGAAAAATCAGTTATCCGGAATAGCGATGGTCCCGATCGTTCCGGATAATCNTCTTTTAGTCTTGCTCATTCTGTCAGGATATTGTTTTACTTTAACTAACACATTATATATATATATATATATATATATATATATACAAAATATGGTTCAAATGAGTATGGTATGGCAAGAATTGTAGTCTAACGTTCTACAAAAGTCATTAACATGCATGAATGACAAATTTGTCACCTTTAAATATTGCTCCCTGGCAAGAAAAGTGACACAGGTCAAAAAACAGCATTTGAGAAAAATCAATGTAAAGAATACTATAAAACTTATTCTGAAATAGCACAATCTTTATCACAATCTAGAGATGACACTTTTTGAGCTTGATGGGGCACTTCATGCATATTTTTTGTCGACATAGCCCTCAAATTGCTGTTTTTTGACTTGTGTCACTTTTCTTGCCCGAGTGTGATATGTTTGGAATTTAAAAAATGTAACAGAAAATAGTTTCTTGCACCGAATTGCATTCATTTAAAAAAAAAAAAACATGAATTAATTTCTAATTCTTGTATGTGTAGTATAGAATTCGAATGTGTAGTAGTTAAAAGGAATTATTGAAAGTACCCAGCACAAAAATTTTCAAATTTACATGATGAAATTTCAAATTTACATCTCGTGTTGTGCTTTAGATTTATGTACTGATAGAATTGTTCATCAATAAACTAATATTTATTTTCCCTTTTAGAATCGACTTTATTTAAAATTTTATAATTTTTAGATAATTAATTTTTAATAAAGTATTTTGTTATCTCTCAGTTTCTCTGTTTTGCTTTTTATAAAGTAAGATGGCAATTAATAATATTTGACGATAAAAATCTGGAAAATAAAGATATAATCTTTTCACTGGTTCCCACGATTACATCAGCAAAAAGGAGTGCTTTCTAATATTGTATCAATATAGGCAAATCAAAATATATCAATAGTGTTAGGAGCACTCAAATAAAGAAGAAAAAAAAATTTGAAACAAAATAGAATAGAACATATTAAGTAAAAACATTACATAAAAACAGAAAATAAAATGCAAAGGAAAAACAGAATAAAACATAAAATAAAACCTATAAAGCAAGCAGCAAATTCAAATGAACTTACATGAATGGGACATTTTTCAAGAATGATTTAAAATATTTTCCTAACAAGATTGCCAGATTACAATATATGAAAGCAGAAGTGCAAATTGGGGTAAAAGAGTAAATAGAGGGGTTTTGTTTTATAGTGCTAGAATTGAACAACATTCTGGCACGAGAGCTACTATACTACTATTTACTACTACTAGCTAAATACTACTATTTAAATAAAGATACAAACAAGTTTACTAAGTTGAATCAGTTCACAAAACTAAATTACCTGTAGCCCAGCGGCAAAATGATTTTTTTCTGTATCATGTGATATGGTTGTAGTCATAGAAGATGACCTTCCTGCTTTCCAAGTTACGTATCCTGATGTCCTTTTCCCCATCTGACGTCCAAACACTAAATTTTCACAAAAACACTCATTAAAAGCATGAATTCAAATGACACTATTTTTAATCTATAATCAAACAGCTGACTTCTTACTTAATTCAAAACCAGGTGTAAAACCAGTATTTACAAAGTTAACAGAAGTTTGGGCAGTACAAAAGCTAGAAACAAAATACATTTATTAAAATAGAAAGTATATTCTAAAGCAAAAGAGAAAAAAAAAACAATCACCGGATAGGATTAAATGACTACCTTTTCATAAATTGGACAGAAATTTTCATATTTTTTAGGTATAAGTCAATAAAGGGTGATCAATTTCTGAAAACTGTCCTGGAAAATCATCGGGTTCCGTGAAAGGGTTGCAGGGTTTTGAATTATTAGAAGTTTTTCTAATCAGCAACGACTTTTGAAACTTGCAATATAATCAGCCCTGCTTAAATGAATACTGTTGGTTTCAGCCAATTGTATTCAAATAAGCGGTTTATATAATTATAAAGGAGCGCATTAGTCCATCATAAATGCTATGTTTTAACAAAATTTTAATTTGAAATAGTGTAGCATAATGTTTTGAGGAAATATACTCATTTTAATGAGGAATAAACAATTATACTTAGAGCTATTAGCGTTTGTATCATAAAATATAAAAAACATTTAAATTTATATAAATATTCTTCTTCTTTCTTATCCCCAAAATTAGCAGGGCTAAACAATGTCCATGAAATTCATGGCCCTGAGGAAATCGGCCACCATAAGTGTGTTATTAAGAATGTCCCTTTTGTCCAGACCAAGACAGTCCAGGATATGTTGGGGGGAAGCCTGCATATTGTGGCACCTGGGGCAGTTAGGGTAGATTTTAATACTACCCTCAAAAGAAAGGGACTTAAGGTGGCCGCTGATAAGCCTGGTAAGTGCAGTCTGGTCCTTGCGTAATATAAATATTAATTAATGCTAATGAAAAGTATTACATAAACGTACTATAATACTATTAATTTATTACCAGAGATAGCTGTAATTAAAGGCAGTAGCGTTAAACAAGGGTATTTTAACTCGAATAAATTTCACTCGTATAAGTGGGTTATTATCGTTATATAAGGGTTGCCACAGAAAAAATTAACAATATAGTTGCTTTTAGTAGCCTAAAGCACAAAAATAGTTGCTGAAAACTATGAAAATAGTTGCCTAAATATGAGCAAAAAGATGACTAAAATTTTATTAAATGTCTTAATTGTCATTTAAAATTATCCATTTAGTCAAGTTGATGGCAAATATGATAATTTTTATATAAACATTAGTGTTCTAGCACTAAATTTTTATAGCAAAAAAATTTGTATATTTTTACAGAAAATTAAATACTTTTAATTACTAGAAATCAGGCAAAAAAATAATTTTTCATTAAAAAAAAACATACTTTTTCTAAAAATTTTTCAGTTTAACCAATAATTGATTCGAAAATATATATATATGCATATATATATATATATTGCGAAAAGTGATTATTCAAATTCGAAATTCACGCATCGTAATAGTGTATTAAAACTTGGGTTTTTTAAAATCATGCAGAATTTTATTGCAATAACCATTGAAAAGGGGATCGAGAAACAAAATAGATTTACAATTCAATCTGTGCAAATTGAGCGCATTGAAAAGTGATGACTCAAATTTGAAATTTAAAATAATTTTATTTCTTAAGGAAAAAAAAATAATTGTGTTCAGAATCTACCGTGGGCTGCAGGTTGTCAACCCAATTTATGCAAGAAAAAACATGGCTAGGAGAACAGAAAAGTCTCCCAATAGTCGCCTTTTCCTGAAATGAGTTGCTTTTTTAGCCTTTTCAGGCAAAAAAAGCTGCCGTAGTCGCCTCAGGTCGAAAATAGTCGCCGGCAGCAACCATAGATATGCAGTTAAGTAGGCATATGTATCTAATGAATAACCTATTATTTATTTATTTTTCGATTATTTTTACGAAATTCTTAAGTTTATATGGCATCTAAAAGAAGATAATTTTTCAAAAAATTCTAATAACAATATATTGAATAAATTTTAAAAAGGATATGCATTTATAAAAATTTGCATCAGCATATTCCAATAGCATCTCTAATTCAAAGTAAAATAGCCAGAAGCATAAATATGTTAATTTCTCTGACAACCACTCTCAATGTTTTTCACAGTTCTTTTTCGTTTTCATTTTAACGAAAACTTCGGCTAATAATACACTAAGAACAGTTTTGGAACTGAACGAGTTCCTGCTAAAGACCAGTTAATTCAATTGTCAGTGATAAAAACCTAATTTTAAGTCGATTATCAATGAATCTAAGAAAAATTATAACTTCTCCCATTAAATAATTTTGAAATAATTAGTCATTTTACATAGGTTTTTTATTTTTTCATAATTTTTAAATAAACTTATTTAAGAAATCAGGCTCCACTAAAAAGAACTCAATCATTTAGGGTCCATTAGTCAAAAAAAAGGGACAAGAAAAAATGGAAACCATTTCTCTAAACACTAGAAATTCTTTTTTTCCAAAGAAAAACTTGTCAATGTCTAAACTTTTGTAAAATTTGCAAATCTTTATAGACGATAACGGTGGAAGGTTAGTAATTTTTAAATTATTATAAATGCATTATTTTTGTATTTTAAATATTAGCATTTTGGCTCTGACTTGGAAAATCATGACAAACTTCTCGTAATATTATGCAAACATTTTGCTGGACTCTTATTGTATTTTTATTAAAAAGACCTTGCATTTGAAGTACATTAGATTTTTATTCATATAAAATTCTATTAATTATGAATATGGAATCTTTACCTCTTAATTTTCAATTAAGAAGCACAATAAAAAACACTCTTAACAAATTCATGAAAGAATTCTCAAAAAGACATACCTATGTTTACCCATGGTTGAAAATCCTTTTAAATACACCAAAAGACCATTACCAGCACCTAATGAGAACTTGAAAAAGAAAAATGACAATACATTTATGTACTCAAATTATTAATCTATTAAAATTAAAATATCAGAAATTGAGTTATCTAAATGAAACAAAAGAAAATTACATAGATTTCTATATTAAGCAAGACAAATTGCCATTTGCTTCAAAAACAGGAATTCAACTCAATTTTTAAAATAAGTTCAAAAACATATGTTAAAAAAAAAAAAATTTCTTAAAAAGGGTTTTTAAGGGTTTTAAATTGAAAAAAGGGAAAAAATATTTCAAAACAAAAGGTAAAATATTTAAGCTAGTAAATAAAGAACATAATTAGGAGTGAAAGATGCAAAAACTGTCAAGAGTAAAATTTTCAAAACGAAAAAGGGAGATTTTTTAAGTTTTTAAGTGAATGAAAAAAATTTGATGCAGATCACTTTGCCTTTTTTCTTTAATAAAAACAACAACAACAAAAAACAGTTTTTCTCTAAAAAAAAAATTATGGGATCTGGTCAAAAAATAGAACTAAATAAATTTATATATTTAAGATGTATGATGATTGCATAAAAAATAAAATTAATTCAAATAATTTCCCTTTCTTTAAGAATCTAATCTTACATTAAATAAAAAATATTAGTGTAAGTAGTCAAATTAAATTAAACCAAAGTACTTTTCTTCCATTTTTTTTTCATTAATTCAGTTTTTAAAATAAAATTATGACTTTTGGAAGAAAAAACTTATTTTGCTAAAGTAATATACCCTTAGTATAAAGTAATATAATAAAGGAAAAAACTACAATACAAGAAAGGACTATTCCTATAATAAGGCACATCACAAAAATTGATTAAAAATGCTTTTTTTTTTATTAAGAATTACTTTTTAAATTTTATCTATTTCCATTCCCACTCAGTCAAAAAAATGTTTTTCATAAAAAATAAAAAGAAGATAAAAATCTATCAAAAGTATGAAAACTTTCATCAATAAACATGACTCCTTTAATTGCAAGTTTAAATATTACACCCTCTGTCTCAAAACATTTTTTTCCACTTTTTTTTCAAATGTGAAAGATAAATAAAAATAATTAATTTAATATTTTTAGTAAAAATAAAATAAATAATTACCTCTCCCCATCTTTTTGCAGAAAAGACTCTTTTTATGGAACAAGAAACATTGCCAGCGCCATTTCCATTTTGTGTTTGAAGACTACCACTTAAATTCAGGGTTTCTGACACACTTAAGGGGGCTTGTACTGACTGAGATATGGACATGGAACTGATTTCAATAGCAGGCAAATTGTAACTAGTTGAAAAAGAAAAAAAGAAATTAGCGAGAAAAAAACACGAAGCGAAAAAAGAAATTGTAATTGCATTATTGCAGCAACTGACCCATTAGTGAATTTTTTTCCTTGGATAGATTTTCATAAACGCCAAAATATTTCAAGTCACAAGTAAGAATAACTGCGATGAAAAGAGAACAAGTAATGATTGTCTACTTGTCGTGCAATGGGCTAGATTTATTTTCAATTGGGTACTCGCACTTCAAGAAGAAGACCAGACACACCCACACATATATATAACCGTCGTTGAACAGAAGACCCAATTTTGGGGTTTACAACTATTAACGTTCAACTCTGCAGCCTTGAAATTTTGAATCCAATCCAGAAGGATCAAGTATTGGGAGAAATTTGCCTTAGTGGAGAGGAAAACCACGAAAACCTCCCAAGGTTAGCCTGATGGCTAATGGACTCTAACTAAATTATTAATACAGGTATCCCAATTTATTTGATTCTGAAAAATCTCAACCAAAGAAAAAAAAACATTTTCTTTTTGATACCAATCTGGCAACTTTTTAGAAACATGCAATATGTGCATTTTGTGATTTTCAAAATGTCCCAAAAAATAATTTCAAGTATTTAAACTCATTCAGTACAAATCAAAACAAGTCAATCAGTCAATACAAATCAGATAACACATTAACAGCTTTTAATTGTGTACTAAAGAGCTAGAGGGAAAAAAAAGATGATAAACATGGCAAAACATGGCAAACTTATATAAGTAAAATTTCAAATAAATTCTAATGCCTAAGCATAAAAATACTAATAAATTATTATGCTAATTGTAAAATTTCAAAACACAATTAAAATAGTTTATTTAGCATTAGTAGTAACAATCTCCAATTTTAATTTGATTCTATTTACATCATTTCTCACATTAATTTAAATCAGATTTTTAAAATAAACATAAGAAAAAAAAATTCAAAAGATCAAATTAGATCACTTTGAATAAGTATAATAGAAAAAAATGATAAAGATATATATATTTATGAATAAAAACTGTAAGAGTTTTAAAAATAATTTCAAAATAGTAAAAGTGTAACTTACAAATAATCATTGTCATAGGTTTCAAATAAATCAGTAGCATTCACTTGAACAATTACAGTGCCCTGCAAATAATACAATATTTACATATGCTTGTATTTTGTTTATCACAAATCTGTTGAAAGATTTTATTGAACTGATAAAGGTAATTTGCGGGCTTCTATAATATATTGACAAATTTACAATGGAAAGAAAATCATACAGTTTAAAAAGTAAACATGCTAAAAAAATTTACTTTTGGATTAGTTCTCTGCTGTAATATTCTTTCTTCTTTTTCTCTAAGAAGTTGTTGAAACTCTTCTCGAATTTCTTGTGGGGTTTTTGTTCGTTCAACAATCTATAAATGAAACACCATTACATTAAACAGTATAAAACTATACTTCACAAGATTAAAATAAGATAACAAATGAAATAAACCAGTGGTTCTTAACCAAGGTTGCGTGGGAGAATTTTAAGGGGGAGTGAGTTAAAAAAATAAAGTAAAACTAACTGTATAACTTACTGAACTAAATTTTATAGCCACAAAGTAGCTAAACTTATTTTTGACATATGTACGAGATATTTGTCGAAATCATAAAAACATCATAATTGTCAGTTGTCTATTAACACTGCAAGAGTTTCTATTCAGAATAGTTTCTTGCTGAGTTGTTTCCCTTTTATTGATAATTTTTCCCCTTCTTCATAAAAATTCTCCAGCATGTTCTTCTTCTCTTCCTGACACATACTTCCTACTAAGACCACCAGTTAGGTTGTTCTGAACATGAAGCTATAAGACAAACTAAGGTAGACAACGTTAAAGAGCACAAAAAATATTATTAAAAGCAGACAGCTGTTTCGGATGCTCAAAGGGCAACCTTCATCAGTGCAACAGAAAACAATAAGAGAACAGAGTAAATATATATAGAAAGATGACGTCACAAGAGGGTTTAGAGCAACGGTCAATAGGAGGGAAGGCTGAACGGAAGACGACGAATAGGAAGCAAGGAACAAAGAGTTTTAGGTTTTATCATAGATTTCCAAACAGGGGAAATATAAGGAACACTTGATAGGTCATTGACCAACAGTTTGGAATTTTTGAAAATATGATAAGACTCGTAAAAATCTAAATCGAATATTGAAGAACAATTTTGAATGACTTTAGAAGAGGAAAAATTAAAATTATGATTAGAGTCCCAACAATGTTGGGCAATAGATGAGCGTTTAAATTCTTGTTTTTTGACATAAGCTTCATGTTCCTTGACACGGCACTTTAAGGCACGCTTAGTTTGGCCAATATATGAATGGCCACATTGGCAATTAATTTGGTATATACCCCAGCTACTTTGACTGTCAATGGGCTGCTTGAGATTAGAAAATTTGACTACCTTAGTTTGTATTTTAGCACAAAGGTCGCCCACTTGTGTATTTATGAAGCTATAAGGTCAGAAAAACATTCTGAAAACTTTTGATGCAGTTAATGATTTGGCAGAAAAGATAGCTCTTAAGGCAACTTCAGAGTTCCGAGATATCTTTTCATTATTTCCAAGATTAAACAGTCACTTAAATGATAAAAAAATGATTAGATGAATGCCTAGCAAGACCACCTGACAGGCTGTTCCGAACATGAAGTTACAAGGTAAGAAAAAGATTCTGAAAAACTTTTGATGCAGTAAATGGTTTCACAGAAAAGATAGCTAGCTCTATGGCAACTTCAGAGTTCCGACCAATCTTTTCATCATTTTACAAACAAAGGCTAAATTCGAAAGAAAAAAAATGGATACTGAACATTTCTGGTTTCATTATTTTCCTGTCTACGCACAAGTTGCTTTGAGGTTACTAGTGCAGTTTTAATCCATACATCTCTATGAGTCTGGATTTTCAGCATTAGCTCACCTAAAATCAAAATATCGAGCAAAGCTAAACATTGAGAGTGACCATTGGTTTGGTTTGTCTAAGTTGCAACCCAATATTAAAAGACTTGTCAAGGACAAACAGTGTCAGCCCTCTCATTAATGTTGTGAAAGTGATTGATATTGACCTCACCTATATTCTTAATTACCACAAACATATTTAGTTCTTTTTACTTAATTCTTTTACTTGAATTTGATTTTTATTTAATTCCTTAATTCTAATAATTTTTTCTAATAATAATAATTTGTTCCAAGTAAAATATGAGTAGTGATATTAAATTCTGTGTATAAAATTATCCTTTCTATATTTTTAATCAATAACCATCTACACTTTCAGATTCAATTGTACAACTTGTAATGACCACATATTGCAGTGGTAGGGGGTGCATGACCTCATATCAGTACTCAAAGACAGGCACAGAGCCTAAAAGGTTGCGAACCACAGCTATAAACCATAAAAAAATAATAATAACAAATTCAAAACAATTTTAATTTAATGATGATAAATTAAACAATAATTGATTTACCAACAAAAAACTCTAAAACTTTGTAACCATTTTATTTCTGCAAGAAATATGATAGTGTTGAACAATAGAAAATAAAACCAATCAGAATATAATTTTCTTTTATTTGAGCCACCAAAACATTTTATGCTAGGAAATGTTATGCCTCATTTATACTTTATATGGGTCTATGAATCAAACATTTAAAAATAATAAATAAATATTTCTAAAATTAAAAAACACAAAAAATCATTAAGTCTAAGAATTTTTTTCAAAAATATTTCACATTGTTCTCTCTCAATATGATACATTTGCCATCGAATAAAGATGCATTAACAAATGTTATGGACCAATTAATCATTTTATTATAATATAAATTAATATAAGTAAGTATAAATTAATTGTATACCTATAAGATATTAATCATAGTAAATTGATCAAGTTATTCATGAATGTCGGACTCTATTACCAGTGTGCAAGTCGACCTCCTAACTATCATAGAGTTTAGGGGGTTTGAAAAGTAAACTTGTACACTGGGATAAACAATATATGGTACAATAATTAATAATGTTTATGAATTAGTAACACAAAAATAGATAAGATCAGAAGACTTTTAAGACTATAACTTTCAAGACTTTAACTTTCAACTACCAGCAAAAATAACTATCTAAAATCAATACTTTCTTAGACATAAGAAGCAATGGATCCTTAGAACTCAGAACTTAATCTCTGAGTCCTTTTTTTTTTAACTAAAAGCAGGACTCTATTTAAAATAATACAAATCTCTATTTTAAAGACATAAATAAATATTTTATGAATAGGGAAAAAACATGTGATTATTTTTAGATTTTGCAATAAGAATTAAAACTAAAATTTCTGTATTAATTTAATTCAAAATTATTTTCCTTTTCTCCTTTTGCTATAAATACAGAAGAAAAAGAATTTTTTTATGAAGTTCAATTTTGCCTACATAAATCAGGCACCCTAATTTTTTTCTATTTCTTGTAATGGTGAATGAATACTTCTGGCGACAAATACTAACTTTTTCTTTGCCCACCCCCACGATTTTTAACATATTTGAATCTAATTCCTGCTTTATACTTAACAAGCTATTTTGAATTCATCTTTTATAAAGAAAAGCAGAGCCAATTTCACTTTCAGTAAAATTTAAATTAACATTGATTTAGACCAATAAGCAGCGATATGTATCTACAGGTATAGGTACATACATATGAGGAACATAATTTACCTGCCATCCTTCGGTTTCCAAACCTTTAACACCCAGTGTGTCATAGATAGCCCTTTGGTGAGGATCATTTAATACTAAAATAAATAATGAAAATTACCTAATTAATAACTAATATAACAAATCAATTATAAAATGTAGAATTTTAAGAACTTACCTTCAAATGCTACCTTAATTTTATTAAATAAAATTTCTGCATTTTTCTTCTTTACAGGATCAAGATGTTTGTCTGGATGATATAATCTGCTAAAACGTCTGTAAGCATTAGTTATCTCTTCTGTTGATGCCTGAAATTTATTTAGACAGCTCAAACACTTTAAATATGCTTTTATAATTTAACATATATCCAAAAAAAAAAAAAAAAAGTTTCTATNTTCTATTCAAAAAAAGATGCTCTACAATTCAAAAATAAAATACACTTGGATATATTCCATGATTTTGAAAAAGAGGATATTGCATATTGAATCCTGATTATATAGATGGCAATGACAGTATGTGCAATAAATCAAAGTGGTAATGAACTTTACCCAATATGTACCGTTTCTCTTAGTTTTTCACAGGCAAATGCTCAATTAACACCAAAGTTTGGTGATGATTTTGGAGCCAGATCTTAAACAGAAATCTTTTTAACACAATCTCACAAAAATATTCAGTTTTTTTTTTTCTTCTTCTTTTTAATAATAGGAAGCAAAATGATACTCCAGGTCTAAGAATTACTAAGTAACATTTCAGCATGCTAAATTTTCAATTTCTGTGATGTACATTGAACTACAAAAAAGCACTCCATTCTTACCTCATGTATTTCATGCTCTGGCGATATTTCGATATCAGTACCTGTTGCATTTGCACCAATTGTTATCTCCAAATGAATCTGTTCAGTCCAACTTGAAATAAATTAAAGACCTGGATGCTCATGCGCTTTAATTTTAAGTGCCTTAGACTTTCTAAGGAGGATCTTACATAAGATCCCCTTTTTGTTGCGGATCTTCTTTCGGTCAGGGGCATCCTAGAGTTTATCTGACATATGTTAGATTAAGAGGATAAGTAAGAACAACTTAAGTTAACCTCTTTCTATGTTCTTTTTCTCTCTGTTTCTTTCTTTTACTAGTTTCCTATGTGCTTATGCCCATAATTTATCAAAACTGCATCATTATTCTGTCCCAGAGACCAATATAAGAAACTTCCAACAGTTTTTTTTTTTTAAGTTTTCCTTTAGTTTGTTAAGTTAAAAGTTCTGACATTAATGTCAGAACTTTTAAGAATAAAATTAAGTGAGGGTGATGAAAGCAAAAAAAATTATGAAATAATGATGCATGCACTACCAACATCAAATTAACCAAACCGCCAACACCAGTGAATTTTATGTTTTATTTTAATTCAATTTTGAATAGAACAAGACTGGCACTTGTTTTGAAGAGGTTGTTTGGATTTACTTGATGCGGGTTAATAGAATATGTTTTCTTAATTGTCATTTTCAATTGCTCTAAATCACATTTTTAATTAATTCATTGATAATTCTGCAAGTTTAGATCAAACTGTTCGCCCGATTCTCTGAAAATAACAACTTATAAAATTAATATAAAATTAAATACTTAAATGTTTCTCTTATTTTTTCATCAATAACTTTCAATTTATATGGGGATATTCCTATATCGTGATCTGTCCCGCCAACTACAATTGCGAAGGTGCCAAACAGATTTTATGCTTGCAATTTAAAAGAAAAAACAAGTAGATGTTTGCTTGGGGATGGCTATGAGTCATACCTTTGGAGTTGGTTCCTTTTCCTTGATGTTTTTTTTTTTTTTTTTTTTTTTTTTTTTTTTTTTTTTGGTTTCACTCAGACTGCTACACGGAAGTTGCCAAGACTTAGCGATTATTTTGCCACAGATCACAATACGAAAATCTCTCTCCTTTATTAAACTTTTATTAGAATTATATAATAAGCCAAATACTCAGAAAACAGGGAATTATATAAGGAGGAATTTCAATACTTTTAACTAAAATATACATAGCACAAAATCAATTATAACTTTATAATTGGATCAGAATTAAAGGTTTATAAAAATAGACATTTCTTAACACGAAAAACGCGCTTGAATTTTGAAACATTTACCTACAAATATAAAATCACAGGCATGTTATATAAATGACATATTATATAAGTAGCAAGATCAGTTCTAAATCTGTTTCTAATCAGTTTCCAAAGACAATTTGATAAAATGAGTGACATTGATTCGAACATAACTAGGTAAATTTATAAATCATGACTAACATAATTTTAATAGTTTAACTAACAAGAAACAAACCAAAAATCATTAAGTGCTACAATTACCGGGTTTTATCTGGTAACAAAAAAGTACTATGAAAATTATTCCAAACAAAATTAATGTGTGATATATTGAACATCAAAAATTCAGTTGAATATTTAAATATGTTGTTGTCAAAATAGATCATTATAAATGTTGAAGGTGTTTATATAATTATTGCATCATTAAAATATTCTTCACACACAGGCGAGCTAAACATAAAAGCTTCCGACTTACATTTTTACTTAAATTCAAAAGGGCATAGTAATCATCTTCAAGTGATAAATCATTTGCTAATTCCATATCATCAGAGGTTGAGGAGTGCGACATAATTATATGTTTATTTTTATTTACATTCAATTTGAGTATGAACCTTAAAACGTACCTAGCTTCTCATTTCTTGCTAATTTATCGCCTCTTTAAATGGGAGTCACCAAGAAATAATAAAAGGGAAGAAGATAAGGTGTTAGTTTTGTCATTTGACTTTAACTTTATAAAAAAAAAGGTTTTTATCCGCATGAAAATAAGCAGCTGGAAACTTTTTAAACAAACAATCAAGCTTCTACTGGAATGAGCGCGAATGCTTGTTGTTTATGCGAAACTTTTAGATACTTAGAATTCTTTTACGTTATTTTAAATCTCATCATTAAATGTGTCATTGATAGAAACAAATAGTTTTTAATACAAATTATAGTTTTCAGTTTCCTGAACTTTTACTGGAAATTTAATTTTCTAAAACCGCTGTTAAACTGACGTTGACAAATATTTGGGTCCTTGGATTGTCACTGTGGATATTTTTATTTGTGGTATTATTTATTTTGTCTTTATTCAATGACATATCTTAATTAGCAGTTGATGTAAACAGTTATATGTTTTTATGTTTATTTTCTATCACTTTTTGCTACAGAATCGGCAAAGTCTAAAGAAATTGTTTGTTAAAAATGTGACTGAATTTTTAGTAAATAAATATTTCACATTTTCATTAGTTTTATGCTGTAACAATATGTATGCAATATTTGTAGAGAACAATTTCCTATCTAAAATTGTGCTAAATCTATTTTTACTATTATTTGAAACTGTTACAGAAAATTTTTACTGTAATTATATAGTAAAAATAGTCTTACTATGGGAAATTCTTACTATTACTTAGAATACTTAATAGATAGGTACATAAATGTGTCATTATCTATGGGTAGAATTTGAAAATTTTCATTACTTGTTGGAAGTAACCCATCTATTTGCTTTTTTAAAATGAATAATTTCTATAATCAGAAATCATGTAAAATTATTGTTAGTATCAGTGTTTATTATAGACCTTAAAATAGGCAATGATGGTACTACTGGGAAAGGGTACTATATTTTTTTAAAAAGAGCATTTATATTCCACAAAAAAGTTGTATATTTCTTAAGAAATCCATAATATTCGAAATTCTTAATTTTTTTATTCAAAAAATCTGATTTTCAAGGAAATCTTAAAATGAGTTTTATAGAGCATGATTATTTTATTTTGGAAAAGTTGTGTGTTGTATTAATATGGTATATTAAAATATCAGGGTTTCATGAACAAGGTAAAAATAGCAAAGAAAAATTATAAAAACTGTAAAAGAAAAGAAAAAAGATAAATAATTGTAATAAATGTTGAAAAAAACTTTTGGATAGCAACATGAAGTAATTTGTGAATCAAATGAATAAAAGTGATATCTTTAATATTAAATTTACTTGCCATCATGGCATTATATTAAAAATATGAGTATTGAAAATGCCTAGTGAAAAAAAGCCAAAAAATAGCCGATAAATGTCAAAAAAGTGATCTATGAAAGATATAAATTTGTGTTACAATCATAAATCCACATCATCGAGCTGGTCAAAAGGCGATACTTTGAATTTGGAATATGTCTGCAATAATGTTTAATGCCCGATGTTAAAACCATGTGAAAATGGCAAAAAAAACTGTTGGAATGCCATGTGGATTCACGAAAAAAAAAATAATAAATAAAAACGAAGAATAGCAGCCAAGTAGATTTTTTTTTAGATGTAGATATTTATAAAGGGGTGCATAATCATGTTCAAACAACATGTAGAGTGAAAATTCTTTATCCAAAAAGGAAACAGTGTGACCAGCCCCACAAATACTGTCTAAGCAAGATATTTTTTTACCATTTTAATTCATTAAAAATAAATACATGACGAGTCTCATGCCATTGAGTTAAGGGATCCAAAGATGCCACTCTGGAAGTTCTCTTTTCCCTTTATGTTTGCAGTGGTAGCAAATTAACATTAAAGGTATAGTTTGTCTACTGTAAGAACTCCCTCTGCCACAAAATCTGAGGCTGTCTGCTGCTACGGAAACAAGAATAGCGCATATCAGGGAGGGTAGCTTCTCTTCACTCTAGGACTAACACGGTCTTCCGAAGAAAAAGATTACCTTTCCCTTCGATGACCCGAGACAAAACCTGTCCTAAACAGAGACCCAATACCCCTACTTGTAATAGTTATATTCCATTACCATAGCGGCTGCCACGGGTCCAGACGAATGGCTAAAGGAGTTCTTACTTTAGACAAACTATAAGGTCATTTTGTAACCACTAAAAAATATCATAATAACTATCAAGTCTTATTTTGTATATATATAGCGGTAGTAAAAAGTATTATAAATTGTAATAAATAAAAAAACTATAAAGCATTGTTACTTCCACTTTATAAACATTTAATAAAAATCTGTTTAAACCGGAAGAGTTGGCATACATAAGGGTCTATCTAAAATTCTAACATACCTAATAGTAATAACATAATTGTCTATTGTTAATAATTTTATTCAAAATTGTTTTTACATAAGGGTCTATGTAAAACTATAACATACCCATTAATAATAACATAATTGTCTATTGTTAATAGTTTTATTTGAAATTGTTTTTACATAAGGGTCTATGTAGAATTATAACATGTTAATAATAACATAATTGTCGATTGTTAATAGTTTTATTGAGAATTGTTTTTATAAAACTTTTTTTTTCTTTTATAGACTTGGTATTATTTTTTTACTACCATGGATGACATATCTCGAAAAAATGAAACAGCTTGTAAGTCACATTTATAAATTTTCTAGATACAGTTGTAGAGCTATATATCCAGGTGTCTGTCCAGGCCAAATTTACATTCGTTTAGCGATACCTTCACAAATTCAACTTTCATAAAATACTTTTTCTTAGAAAAAAATTTTGTATCCCGTAGGAAACAATAAATCCATATTTTTGTGTTGATTTTTTAATATAATTTTTAATTTTCACAAATTATGTTTAAATTTTCACAAAATAGGTACCTTTCAGAAAAACCTAGACGGACCCCTGATCCCGGTCTATAATTCAGCTTTTTAAACTATCATAACTTTGCATATATCATGAGGTCGCTGTAATAAACACCAGTAAAAAAGTTGGACATTTGTTGATCGTTAAATATCAATGCATGAAAACAATGAGATTAATTCTGTATTAACTTTCCCCTTTCAAAAGCTATTTTTACAATTAATTTTGCATTCTCTCTCATCATATTTTATTTAAATATAAAGATATTTTTCAGAAATTATACTTTAAATTACGTTCAGAAAAAAAAAGAATAGGAAAGTTGATATAATTTATTCAAGAATATTTCAAACATAAACATGCCTTTTTAAACACACCATAAGGCAGCAAATTTAGCAATTGCAGATGTCATTTGATCTCCAATTCTTTTTCACTAATTGCAAGAAAATCAGACTCCACCGAGTCAGCCCATCTCATCCGCTTTCTTGCTCCAGTGGGTGTAAAATGCAATATCTTCTTCAATAGAATAAATATGACGTTGTTATGGAGAAATCTTCAGGGGAAGGCATTGGGCTGTCTGGCCAACTATAACAGTGAGAATGTCATTTGTCTTGAATTTATTAATGTTGCATTTGCTCTCAAATAAAGTTACATATCTTAATTGAGGGCTAATCTAACATATCAAGAGAAAACAATGTGAAATATTTTTAATTGGAGTAAATTTTCTAGACTTAATAATTTTTCTTAATATTTTTTTTTTTTAACTTTAGAAATTCTCATATTTGGTTTTTTAAGCAACCTGCTTATACACCTGACATACTGGAAATTTTTTATCTTATAATCAAAAATAGGGGTTGACTTATAAACCAGGTTACACTGTCAATTTTTATTTTTTAATGTGATTTTGAAGGGGGCCATTCATGTATGCAATATTGTTCACACTCAGCAATTGCCACTGTGTTTACTTTTGTAATTGAGATTGATTAAAATAAATTATTTTTCTAAGGTAGTTAGTGACTTTTAAACTTGAAGCATGCTTCTTCTGTATTTATTTTTATTATTCTAGTTAGTTAAGAGTAATGTGTAATGTCTGATAACATGAATACATTTCTTCTTAATTTGGCATATTTAATTTTTTCTTATTGATTCTGAAATGATATTTTAATTGCTATTATTATGATGACTATAATAATAGTTACAATGAGAATAATAAAAAAAATACCTTATCAAAACTCAGGGGTGATCTTTGAAAATGTAGAAATAAAGGATTTTAAAGCAAAATAACAAAGAAATGTTATTGTTTCTGAATTGTCTAGAGAATTCATACATCAAGACTTTATCAAAGAATCCAAACTTTTCTTTTCAAAAATATAGCTTGAAAAGTTAAAATTCATAAACTTTAAAAATCACTGGCTTAATGGAAAAATTAATAAAATTAATTTTAAATAATCATCGTTAGGGCTATTTATGAAAGTAAGGTTTGTATCTTTGCAGTTAGAAAGCTAATTCTGTTTGGAAGCATTTTTATCACATATACAATTGATCGACAATAGAACCTAGATTATCAAAATTACAACGGATGTTAAAAAGGCTGCGGTAATGGTTACATTATTATTACTGGCGGTATTATGAAATTACTCTTGTGATGACAAATCCAAAATTACTAAAAAAGAACAATTAAAAAACAATGTTTAAAAAAAAAAAACATTATTATACCAACTACTTTTTTGGAATAATTTTATCCATGCTTCAATGTTTATGCTTTAGAACATTGACTTATAGAGTTCTTCTACTTTTCCATTATTATACCTGTTGTGCGTTTCGATTACTTCTGAATCGAGTCAGTGTGTTTGAAATATTCTAAATTACGAAAAGAGGACTGTAACAATAAACTTAATATTTAATTTGTACGAAAGAATTACATGGACCAGCAAGGGTCGATCAATCAATGGTTTTGCATGGAAAGTAGGTACTTCATGCACTTACAATAGCTTTCTTCCTTTTTCAAAACAAAACAAATTTTATTCAGAGATGTGGCGATGGTTCCTCGCTGCAGTTACAAACATCTACTACTACTACTCTTTTTTCTCTGGCTCATACGCCCTCTGGCGTCACTTAACAATACCAATTACTTTTTTTGGAGTAATTTTACCCATGCTTCAATGTTTATGCTTTAAAACATTGACTTTTAGAGTTCTACTAATTTTCCATCGTTTTAGATTTTCCGACATACCCCTGGTTCCGAGGATGCCAGTTAATCTGGGGTTATACTTTATTATGTTTTCGAAAATTTGAAAACAGATTTATTTTCTACTCAAAAGTCCAACATTAGGATATCTTTGCCCAATTTAAATGAACATTTAGGTTACAGTTAATACAAATGAAAAGTGTTACCCCTAAACAGTCTGTATTCTTATGTTGACATATCATTTAGGACTCAAATTTCAGGATGGTCTGTTGGTCTTTGACCAGTAATTTTGATTAGGATCATCCTAAGGCAATTATTAGTAGGTCCCCGAGCCAGCTGTCGATTTAAAGAGATGGTTTAAGGGAAATTAAAATGGTTTAAGGGGTTAATTGTTTCGGTTTTTTAATTTTTTTTTCTGTGCCTTTAACACAAAACTACATATTACATCATAATTGTAACATTAAACATTCTCTTTACTGTAATTTTTTAAAAAAATTTTATTTAAACTTTTTTGAGAAAAAAATATCTAATAGAGACATGTGAACAGACAGAATATAAATGTAAATAGCATATTAAATGCAGATTATAATAATTATGTTGACATAATGTCATTCTATTCTATATTATGTATGTAAGTGGTTTGTTTCCATTTAACTTTATATGTTTTTAAAATAAAGCATGTTTATGCATTTCAGCTGCAGAATCGAATATTGCTGCAGAAAGGCTAGCTGAGTATGAAAGTGTAAAAAACTTTGATCCCAATTTTCCAGATACTTTTGAAGGTTTTGGATATAAGTTCAATGACTGTATGTTTCATTGTATTTTCTATCATATCATTTTGTTTCAAATGTATAGATAGTTTACATAGTTTGTTTTAAAGTAGTTTACAATTAAATTTTATTTATTTATTTTTTTGTCATTTACTGAAGTACTCTACCATACTTGCATTTCACGTTAATTTTAACTGAAATCCAGTATTTTTAGAGGCTAATAAATTATGTTGTATTTAGAGTTCGTATTTCCATGTATACACTAATATAAAACTAATTACTTAAAAAATTACAACTTGGTGCTGTTGCACCAAACACCGAAATGAGCAGTGCTATCTATCCATCCAAGAGTATGATCATATTATTTTATTTCCAGTTTCAAAATTTGTTCTTATTATTTGCTTCTTTTTTTTTAATATTATTATTTTTTTTTCAGTTCAGAAATTGTTTAAAATGTTTTTTAAAAATTTAATAAAAAGAGAAATCAGAAATCTTGTAAAAAGCAGTTAAATACCAAAGGAGAGTTGCCCAAAGCAGCAGAAATTCCATAAGAAAATTGAAACTTATAGAAATTTTAAAGATGAGCGTTATAAAAATGACAACCAAAGCTAACGTCGTCAAGGGGTACCAGAAGTCATAAAAACACAAAGCCTTTTCTATCGGAGAGTGAGACAAATGTCTGAAAAATTGCTCTCTCTCTGTACCCCAAAGATTTTGCAAAATGTCCAGGAAAAGAGAATATAAAACAAAATACAAAAGTAAAATACATAAACTAATTACTAAAGGAAAACAATGATCAGAAAACCTACTTAAAAATATTCCTATTTCAAACTAAAGCTCGCAACTTTCTGAAAATCCTTAGCCAAACTGAAATTTACAAACAAACTATGCCTACATTTAATGCACAGAAAAAAGAAAGCTTTTGCCATCTGTTAGTAGAAAAGCTTAACTGGGGCAACTCAGCTAAGTCTCGATCTAGCCAGATCAGAAAAGATCTGGCTAGATCGAGACAGAAAAGAAAATAAAACTAATAATTTTTAATCATTTCTTTGATTATACCTTCAATATTGTAAAAATTAAAAGAAAAACCATTACTTTCCAGATTTTTTAAAAAATTGCAAATTTTATTAATTCTAGTCAGTTGATAAAAAACTAAATTTTTGAATATATTACCGCACAAATTCGTATCAAAATTACTGAAAAATCTGAAATTAAAATTCTTTCTTTTATCATAAACACCAATTTTAATTTGATTATTAGCAATATTAATTTTAAAATTTAAATATTCAACATTTAAACAATTATCATTAGTCCCTTTTCAAAACCAAATCTTCGGGATAAATATTAAAAATGATATCATAATTTTCACAATTTGATGAAATTAAATTATCAATGTATCTAAAAGCTTTAAGATCATTAAACTCAAGATACTTTGCTTCAAAAAAGGCAAAAAAATATTAGCAAAAGTCCCAAAAAAAGAATTACCTTGTAATATCTCTATTTTTTGTTTATAAAAATCAATGCCATTAAAAAGAAATTTTTCAAAAAGATTACATTTACAAATATCAATCCAATAACTTTTTATCTATATTTTGATTAATTAAGCATTTATTATAAATGCAACTACAAATTTCAAGTATTTGAGCATGAGGTATACTAGTATAAAGATTTTCAAAGTCAAATGTATTAATATCAAAAACCTCATTCTTTTCAATAAAGTTCAAAACATTAATAGCAATATTTTTCTCGCTTTTAATTCTAACCAAAATAATTTTAAGAATATTAAAGAACTTTTTACTAATATTAAAATTATAACTATTAGTACCACAAGCTATAAACCTAAATTTGACTAGATTTTTATGATATTTAACGATTGGAAATAAATAAGAATAGGTAATTCTATTCAATTTAAATTTTAATTTTTTACTAAAAGTAGTAATCCTTTTGCCAATAACTTTTTTGTCATCCTTTAATTTTAGATAGGTATTATTGGTATTATATTCCTTAAAAATCAATTTTTAAAAAAATATTTAAATATAATACAAAAGTTGTTAGAAGCTTTATCAACAACTGTAATAATGAACTTTCTTTTAATTTTCTCAAACATATCATAATCAATAACGGTACCACTAGGATAAAAACAAAATTTAGAATTGTTTAAATTATTTTTTACACTTTCTACAATCCTTGTTTTCCATTCTGTTAAACCTTCAACAGGCCAATGATATTTTCTAGAAACCTTAGCAATAAAACAATCAAGATCTCTTTTAACTGTTGAAATAAAATCATCTTTTTTCATTTTTAACTTTGTTCTAAATTTATATCCTCTGCTCAAAATTATAATCAAATCTTGATCTCCAACAATATCTAAGCTCCCAGTAATAATATGACCATAATCTTTATCTATAAATGTAGAAAATTCTTCAGTGTTACAATAACAATCTGACAGTGAAATATAATTTAAATTGCAACTTAAAAAATTATAATTACAAGCTTTTTTTTCTAAGAGTAGAGGAATATTTATAAGCATATTTTTCCTTTTAAAAAATTTTTAAGTTGTTTTAAAGGGAAAAATATCTGAAAAACAATGGAAAATCTATGAAATCCTAGAATTTTCAAATTTTTTTATCATGAAAATTAATTGTACAAGAAACCTTTTTGAAAAGCCAATCAGTTTTATCAACTCCAAGTTTTGATTTAACGAAATCTATTATAATAAATTTAATAAGTTCAGTATCAAATCTTAGTCTATTTCTAAATTTATAAAAGAAATTTTTTAAATCTTAAATCCGAAAATAAACTTCCTAGTAATAAAAATATTATTCAGGTTGATACAAGGACTACAAATTTTTGAAAATTCATCCAAATTTATAAATTTACTTTATTCCCCACCACTTGCTCTTTTATACCTATGCTTTGAATTAAGAGATTTAGGAAAATTAAAAACTTTAAATTTATCATAAATCTAAAAATCGTCAATTTTAACAGTACCTTCCCTATTTAATTTACTATCTAAACCATAGGAAAAAAGAATTTTAAGACTGCTAATACAGTCAAACCCCACTATAGTGAACATGGTTTATAGTGAACTACCCTGGATATAGTGAACGAAATGTTCGGTCCCGTGCCTTGCTATACATGGATAATGTTATTTTTTGTGGATATAGTGAACCAAAAAAGTGAAGAAGTTGGATATAATGGACTTTTTTCTGTCTTCAACTGATTTTTTTTGTGATAATTTTGAAATTTCTACTTTAAAAAAAAATACAGATACCGATTTTCAAAACCATCTATAGAGGGGAATGTAGCGATAAGCATTTTTTCTTGTTTCCTTCTTTTATGTCACTTTCCCATCCCTAAACAAACAAAGCAGATGTTTCCAACCCAGGCAGACACCCCTGTAAGGTGTCAGTCAGATCAATCTGCATTTTCTGTCAGAGGGAATGAGCAATTAGCAATGAGCATTATTGGTCAAAGGGTTGGACACTAATATGTGTTGATAAGGCTCCTTTTTGATCTCAGTTCAGTTAAAAAATTCCGCAAACAAGTGTCTCAAATTTAACTATGGCGACCAGTAAACATAAAACGTTCTCCATTAATGACATAATCAGAAAAATTGAAATTGGATGCAATCAAGCTGATATTTGCAGGGAATATAAACTGTCCAAATCTGCTGTTTGTAACATATGGAAAAATAGGCAATTAATAATTTCTGCTCATGAAAAAAATTTAGATGGCAGGAAAAAGTTGAGAAAAGCAGATCACAAGGATGTTGAAGAAGCATTACTGTATCACCAATCGAAGTATCTGGACAAATGTCAATGAATTTGCTAAGCGATTTTATGAGACTACTTTTATGTGCTCGAATAGTAAGTTAGAGTTAGACAGGTTTAAAAAGCGGAATAACAGAAATTCAAGAAAAATTATCTGAGAGTCGGGAAGTTATTCTATATTTGATGTTGAGGATTGCTCATCAGCTAAAGATTACTAATTTTTATTGTACGCAAGACAAAGAGTAATGAAAAATAACACATTTTTTGCTACCACATAATATTTTTCAGTCATTTATTTGAATAATGTGTAATAAAAGGGAGGAGTTTGGGAACCATTAGTTAAATTGCCTGCGTAACGGATATAGTGAACCAAAATTTCGGTCCCTTGAAGGTTCACTATAGCGGGGTTTGACTGTATAAATGTTTTCTAAATCAAGCAGGTCTTCTATATTTTCTTTAAAATCTAATATAAAATGAGTGACATTATCAAAATCATGAAATTGAAAATATAAAGTTTCATAATTTGTAGAATCATTATTATTATTTATAGCAAATCTGTGTGAATTAATTCTCGTATGAAAGTTATTAAGAAGTACGAATTAATTCTCTTATTAGTTTTTGTTTTCTTTTAATAGGGCTAGATCGAGACTTAGTTGATTTACCTCAGTTATGCTTTTCTACAATAGCTCGGTCCCTTACAATCCCTCGGTTACAATAGCTTTCTTATTTTTGCCCTTTAAATGTGGGCGTAGTTTGTTTGTGAATTTCAGTTTGTTTCAGAAAGTTGTGTGCTTTGGTTTGAAATAGGAATATTTTTAAGTAGGTTTATTGAACATTGTTTTCCTTTTGTTATTAGTTTGTGTATTTTACTTTTTTATTTTGTTTTTGTATTCTCTCTTCGTGGACTTTTTACAAAACCTTTGGGATAATTTTTTAGATATTTGTCTTGCTCTCCGATAGAAAAGGTTTTGTGTTTTTATGAATTCCGGGGCTGGTACGCCCTGACGACGTCAGCTTTGGTTGTCATTTTTATATTTGTCATTATTTTCATTGTTTTCTTCTATAAAATTTTCTATTTTTTAAAAAATTTAGTTATTTATTTGTATTAAAATTATTGATAAACTCTTAAATTTTTAAGTTGTATAGTTTAAAAGTGCAGATATTTCCTTTTATGTAAAAAAAATTATTTATTTGAAATATTTTTATACTATATGTAATGTAAAAATTATTAATCATACAATCGAAGGATTTTTAATGCAGAATCATGATGTGAACTTGTTATTTTTATTCACAATTTTTGTGTGCTTTTGTTTATATTTGTTGCTTTAATTTTTTAAAATAATTGTTTTTTATACCAATCAAAGATCTTTTTAGATTTCATTTGTTTTTCAAAATTAAGTTGTTACTTGCACTCTTAATTTCTTTATTTTTGTTCAAGCTGTAATTGCGCATTTATTTTATTGATTTTTTATACAGTTGGCCAGCTCCGTCATATCACCACTGGCACTCCATTTGAATTTAACGTCATGAAAGATGATCAAGTCTATAATCAAAAGCGATATGAAGCAATCGGTGAAGTAAGTGATGGTTACAAAGATACAGATCTTCTGTATATTTATTTTCATCTAAGATTTTTTTATAAAGGAGAGTAAAGAGAGTGCTGCTTTGAAAAATTCTCTCTAAACTGTCCTTTACAATCTCAAACTAAATTTTGAAAAGTTTCAACCATTTTTTCAAAATCCATTTTCAGTTCTTTTGAACCATAATATTCGGAAAAATGTTAAATTTTATGGAGCGAAATTATTTTGCTACTTTAAAATATTTGCTTATAAAGTTATCTGTTGATTTAAATGTAGGAATATCTTGACATGTAGTTTGTAAATAAAAAGGAAAGAAAGTCTTGTGAACATGAGTAATTAAAAAAATTTAAGTCTTTTTTTTTTGCATTTCTTGATTTAAATTAATTTATTCGTCTTTTGAAATCTAACTGCCAAATTGGGTATATGTCTTTAAAAATTCATGAGTGTGTTAATCTTGATTAAAACCAACTGTAATTTTATTAATTCTGTGATTGGTTTGTCTTAACCTCTTCATTATCTCGGTTCACTTATGTGGACATTCACTTCTTAGCTTCTAAAAACACACTATAAGAAAATTTATAGTATTACCTTCACTGAAACATTCATTAATATTTAAATTTTCTGGGGATTCCACAAATTCAGAACATGTAAATTATTTGGTAGAATTCCACATAAGCAGAAATGATTTTAAAAAAATAACGCTAAATCGACCTGCTTGAAAATGTAACCAGGGTGCGTAGCGTTTTTAAAAAGTGCTTATTTTTGGTTTTCGTTTTTTAAAAGCCCTTAAATTTTTTTATTGCGTGTTTTTAAAAAGTGCTTAAATTTCCCTTTTTGAAAATGATATTTTAATTCTTTACCTTGTCAATTTTCACACCTTATGCAAACGTGTGCTTTTCACATTGTTCTATTCCGCATTTTCTCAATTCATTCATTCCGACGTACCGTCGGTCCATAGCGTATGAAAGTGCCAATCATTTTACATTATTTTATCACGATTGTGTAAAGTCTTTGAAAATTAATTTGGATTTCTTTAATGTTGAGTACTTAAAAAGTATTTGAAAGGTGCTTATTTTTTTGTAGATAGATTTGGCAACACACCCTGGTAACTAATTTTAAATATTATGTAAATTAGTTACTCTGATTTTTCTTTTGACTTAGTATTTCTGTGATCTGTTTGAATCTTTTAAATTTATATTTATTTAATATTTAAAAATAATACAGTAAAAAACATGCAGATCAGCGTATGTGTACCTTGGTTCGCATGGCAAAATTTATGACAGCTTAGTAATCAAGTGAAATCTCATAGTAGTATGAACAATTTTATATCATTTTAGTTATGTTTTTATGTGTATTTTAATTAATTTTATGTTAAGGTACATACATACATTTACTAACTAACTCGTTGTGTTTTTTTCATAATTTTTAAATTTTACCTCCAGAATTAAATTTCTTGTGTAGGTAATGTTAGATTATTTTCAATAATTATTTATTTAGAGTGGTTTTCATAATTAAAATAGTTTTGAAACTGAAATTTTGTGCAGTAATGCATTGGCATTGCGTTTAGTATTGCAATGCCATAGTAAAAAAAAACTTAGTATTTTTCAAAAAAATATTTTTTTTTCATAATCATTAAATGTTTTAATTATTGTATTTAAATAGACCATAGTTAGGGCTGCAGGTTTGTCGCGGCTCGAATTTCCGCGATGATTTCCTCGAAATTGTCATATTTTTTCCTAAAATCCGCAAATTTCTCAATATGTCGTAACTTGCGCAAAAATTGCTTAATTTTTTTTTTTCATATTTTATTTATTATTTTTATTAAACAGAATTTTTTATTTTCCTGAACCTTAAACTGAACATGTTAAATTGATTAGATATTTGGGGGAGTGAATCAATAGCAAAATGACATGAAAATAGTTCAGAGATAAGAGATAATCACAATCTTGTCAACTAAGGTGGTCTTTCTACACTTAGGGAGTGTAATTACCTTCCTGAAGTCAGTAAGAGTACAAAAGAAATTGGAATCACAAAAGAAGGAAAATGTTATAAGTCAAATCTTTGACAGAAAAATTGTTATACATAATATTGCACTGGGCAATGAAATTTCTACTGCCTTTCTACATATCCAGTTAATTTTTCCTAGGTGGCTTCTTGTGATTTCTTAAATATGGATCAGTTTCTTAGATGAGAGGGACTAGTAGTTAGTAGGGACTTGTAACTAGAAGTTTGAATGTAGAATGTTTGAGTTTTACAGCATTTACTTCTTACAAAGCAACGGCCAAGGAATTGCGCGTTGGTGAAGGAAAATTGATCGAGTTTTGGAAATCAAAGGCCGAACGCTCCAAAATTGGCAATTGGATGTTTGTCGGTGCCTAAAAACAGCGTTGACGCAGAAAGATCGTTTTCTAAGTATAAAAATGCATTAAGTGATGAAAGACGAAGCATTAATGAGAATAATCTGACAATGTACAATACTTTGTACCAAAATTCTGTTCATTTAAATAAAAATATTAATATTGTTTGAAATTCAAAGAAATACCTTTGCTGTGTTTTTTTAAGCTTTTTTTATTATTTGCGCAATTTCTGTCATTTGCATCATTTATATCATAAAATTTTTATGTTTAGAATTTGTGTAATTTTAAAAATTTCCCGTGATTTTTCCGTGAATTTGGTGTCTTTTTTCCCGCGATAAACTTGCAGTCCTAACCATAATATAACAAAATGTATGTTTGTACCTACTTATAATGCAATTTAACATTTGAAATATTTATATTATTTTACAGAATTAAAACCTGCGGTCCACCGTAGCTGCCAACTCTACTAGATTTTTCAGTAGACTATTGGAATTTGCTAGTTTCCCCTGGTTTACTGGTTTAATAAAAATTCTCCTGGTTTTTATACAGCTTAGAAATTCCCTAAAATTGCAAAAATTTCCTAAAAAAATTCCCATTGAAATTCATTTTTGTGTACAGATTATTGCTTGCTTGAATATTTAAATAAGTATTACGAATACACAATGAAGTAAGCCTCATTCATAAAAATCAATTTAAAGCTATTTTTTGTTCTAAAATAATGTTCAGTTTATTTTTATTTAGAACTCCCTTTTTTAATTAATTAAAATTCTTTTAACTATCTTTGATGAATTGAATGTCTATTACTATTCAAAATTATGAGTAAACATAATACACAACATTTCAAGTTCATTTAATGTCAATCAGAACTGGGAAATATTGCAGTTTTTCTATTTTGTTTACTATAAAAATCCCTGAAATTTCCTATGTGTAAAATATTTAGTACATTATGCAATAATTATCATTAAATTTATATTAATTTCATAAAATCTACTGGATTTTTTCCTATTCATGTTGGCAGCTATGGGTCCATGTATTTGTACCTAAAATTGTTACCCTCCTGGGAGCATAATTCTTATTTTTTTTATCTTATTATCACTTATGGCAGTAAAATAGAAATTTGGAGCTGTGTAATATTTTTTTGTTATATTCATTTTTACTTTAGTATTGAATAGGTTAAATTGGTTTAAATGTGAAGATTTTCTCTTTATCTGGAAACAAATGATTTAGTATTAAATTAAGTATTTTAGTAATAAACTTTTGTTTGTAATGGAAAATATTGCATGACAACATGCATTTTGTATTTTTATAGTAACATTTTTATTGAGATGAAAGTTCATATGAAATTAGGAAATTATGATTCATTTTAGATAGATCAGCTCAACCAATGCTGTAGGAGTAATTTCTTAAAATTATAACTTCTTCACTATTGAAAGTATAAAGTAATGTAGCAAAAGAATGTTTTACGGTTCTCCATTTCTGTTTTACTGTCTAAAGTCACCTTCAAGTTAAATAAAATATGAATTATACTGACAGGAGGCTAAAAATTTTAGGCATATATACGTGGATACAGTTCTTAATTGAAAGAATATAAATATTTTAAATGTTTTAATTGCACCTAAAGTAGGAACAAACAAGCATATCGTTAAATTATGGTCTATTTAAATACAATAATGAATAGATTACATAATTATTAAGAAAACGAAATAAATTTTAAAAATTAGTGTATGATCCATTTTGGAGTCTAGGGCCTGCAATAAACCTCACAAAAGTTTGAACTCTCTAAAACAATCGCTTCAGCAGGAATGAGATAGATTAAAGGTAGAAAACTTGCGGCCCATTTCTGAAAACTTCAATAAGAGTTTACGCCTCCGCATCGCTGCCAAAGGCGACCACTGTAAAATCAATGAAATGCATTAATTATACTTCGTTTCACCTTAAGTTGGCACTGCAGGGAACGGCAGGAAATGTAATACTCCACCTTTGAAAAGTAGTTCCTCGCTATTTTGGAATTAATTGCAGTTTAAATGCACATACAAATATAAATAAATGTTGTATAATAAGAAAAGTTCATCTTGAAACATGTATTAGAAGTTTTTCATGTTTAAATGTATTTAACTTATAAATACCTCCTCAGTAAAGAGAATGTACAAAGAAGAAGGATGTGTTTTAGTTCGGCTCTGAATTAGTTTTCAAGGCCAAGAAATTGGCGCATTGGCTATTTTTTTACACTGGTCAGCCAGCTTTTTCCATTCTCCTTGCCTTTGCTTAAGTGTCCTATCTCTTGTGCAGTTCTTATTTCGTTTTCTCTCAAACGCATCGCTTAATTGTTCGTTTGTTTTCTTTTTTATTAGTTATTAACTGTTAATTTGTTGTTTTTTACTAGTTATTTATTGCTAGCATGTTTTTTATTGTTATAAACTTTTTGCATTAACTGTTAATTTTTTGTTGTGATTCTTTGATAGATATATATTTTTTTTTTGCTAGTTACTAAATGCTAGCCTTGTTTTTTTGTTCGTTTGTATTATTTTGTTACTTATTAATCGATAGCTTTTTTCTTTTGTAAGTTACTAATCTTTAGCTTGCTTTCCTTTTTTAATTATTAATTTTAATAGTCATTAAATTCCTTACTTATTTTTTTATTTTAAGAATGTCAGAGACAGGACTATCACCGACAAAGATGTTTACGTCATCATGTGTGGAAAAATTATAAAAAGTGGTGCTCGCAGAAACATTTTAAATGTTTATTCACAACTAAGAAAGGAAAATCCACATGAAAGTATCACTCAAATATACGACAAAGTTGCTACACTTACTGGTTGTTCAAAAAGAACTGTTTATCTTTTGAAGAATGAAAAAAAGACATCCAATCCTTTAAGTACACCTGAAAAAAAAAGACCTGAAGCTGTAGGTAAACGCACAAGACTTGTGAAATTCGACGATTTTACGTTGTGCTGCATTCGCAGAAAAATCCATGCTTTTTTTGGTGGAAATGAAGTACCGACTTTAGATAAAGTTTTAAAGGAAATAAATGGTGACAAGGACATAATTGAAAAGAACATTGCGTATGTTGACTTTTCCTTCCCCCACGAAACACCAATGTGGGATAAATTAATGTACGTTAATCTACAAAAAATAAGTTGCATATAAAAATAATATTTAAAACAAAGTATTTATGCGTGCATCTATGCATTTCTTTTTTTACTTAAATTTAAGCAAAAAAGAATCTTTAAAAAAAAAAATTTTTTTTTTAAAATTAGTTTCGTTTAGTTAAAAAAATCATAATAAGAAAATCTGCTTTTTAAAAACCATAATAAGAAATTAGCTTACAACTAGTATCTTAAAATAATAATTATTAGAAATGTTNCTTTAAAAAGAAATTTTTTTTTTTTTTAAATTAGTTTCGTTTAGTTAAAAAAATCATAATAAGAAAATCTGCTTTTTAAAAACCATAATAAGAAATTAGCTTACAACTAGTATCTTAAAATAATAATTATTAGAAATGTTCTAAAAGAATCATGTTCTTTTCTGTATTCTGTTCAAAATTTTAGTAAGATTCTTGGTTTTTAAAAAAAAAATTGGTGCTTTGTTTTCTTTTCGCCAATACTGGCCACTTTCTCTCCTTTGTTTGCTACCTCATCCCCCAACCGACTCAAAGAGTAGCCCAGTTTCCATGACAACAGCTGTAATCCGACCTACCTGTCCTTCTCTCCAGTGCCAACTTAAGGTGAAGTGAAGTATAATAAAAGTCTACTTTTATTCTTATTTGTTATATTTTGTTAATTCATTTATTTTTAATAAAGTAATTTTAAAAATTGCTTGTCCGAGTCTTTTGCCTCATTTTATGAAATAATGAAGGAAGCCTAGGAAAGGTACCGACCCAGTGATCGTAAACTTCCGACATATAATTATATAGTTCAGTATCACAGCTAACATATCATAACTAACTATTGTTCGTAGTCTCACAAAAAAAATTAAAAACATGTCCCTTAAAGTGTGCAATTTATTTTTTCCGTTTTAAATTAGAAATAAATAATAATTATGAAATAAATAAATAATTTTTGTTTATTTCAAATGGTTAATTTGAATTTTTGTAAACAAAATTAAATATGCCCCGAAGTTCAAAGTAGACTAAATTACTTTGCATTTTAAACATTATCACATTTAACTTTATCTCAAAGAAAAATATTAAGAAATTTCAATCGACTTTTCAAACTTGTTTTCTCGGGGACGTTGAAAAAGTGTGTAAGCACTTCAAGAAGGAATGAGATTTCAAATTGCGTATTTTTGATATTATGCGGTGTGAATCTGAATACACATAAAAATATTACTTAATAGATAGAAAATTAAATACTCATAATACTATTAGATTTCACTTGACTACTATGCTGTCATAAATTTTGCTGTACATATCAAGGTACACATATGTGGTCCTGCATGTTCTTGATAGTATCATTTTGAAATATTAAGTAAATATAAATTTAAAAGATTCAAACTAATCACAGAAATACTAAGTCAAAGGAAAAAATAAAGTTATTTTCAGAATAAATAAATTATAGAATATTTAAAATTTCTTATGTTTTTGAGCATGTGGATTTAGCTTCATTTCTTGAAAATCAATTCTATTTATGTGGAATTACACCCAAATAAATTGCATGTTCTGTATGTGTTACAATCCCCAGAAAGCGTCCACGAATGTTCAAGTGGAGGTAAAACTACAAGTTTTCTTTTAGTGTATTTTTTGAAGCTAAGAGGCGAAGGTCCGCATATGTGGACCGAGGTAGCAAAAAGGTTAAATCAAATATTTCTGATTGTTAAGATTTTAATATATAGTGTTATAACTGTTATTTTTTTTACAAAATTATTTTTATTAATATAAAATAAAATTTTTTATTAATGAACAAATTATGATAGCTTGTAAAAACTATAAGCTTTGTTGTTCAATAAATTTGCAATCAAACAAATGTTTACAACATGAGAAAGGCAGGAATTCAATGTGTGCTCTACTGGTACTCTGTAGCTGAATTCTCCTATTCTTAGAGAAGAAAAGTGGCAATTTCACAGAGGGGAAAAATTATTTTTATTTAGCAAAGTCTTTTATTTATGTATCTTCTCTCTATCCAATGAAACAAAACAAAAATAATGAAACGAAAACTTTTTTTTTAAATTTTTTTACAAAGTTTTTAAATTAACAGATTTTGTTTTCTATTATTATCTGTTTAAAGTGTTTCCATTTAGTGTTTATTATATTGGTTATAAAATCTTTCTGTGTAGTGATTATTCTTTTATTTATAGCTTGTCACAAATTATGTCTATAATCTACTAGAAGAAGAGGGTCAACTTAAAAGAATGTACCTGCCTGTAAGTTGTCATTAATAGTATCTTAAAAAGATTTTTTTTATTTGGATTAAGATTTATGCTAGTTTTTTTTCTTCTTTCGAATATAAAGGGTAGCCAATAAAACAATTTTATGATAAAATAAACTACTCAATTAAATTTTGTTAATATCACATGTGGAATTTTTCTCAAAAATTTTTTTTTATTTTTCTTAATACCATTGTCTTTCTATTTAACAACTCAAGGAACTCTGAAGAATCTTCAGTGGAGAATATCCTTAATAAAATTTGAGGGAAATTAACAAAAATACAAAATAAAATCAATTTTATTAACAAGTAATTAAAAAGCATTGTTTCCTTTAATAACAGCCATTAACAAGTATAATTTTCAGAACAAAAGCATTTTTGTAATATGAACTTATCATAGTTTTTTTTTAAGGTAAAAATATAGAAAAAAAATTTTGCAAAAATTTGCTTTTAAGTTTATTATTGCAATATAATAACATGTTGAAATTATTCTCTATAAGATCAATATTGTTATTTTTTAAAAATCAATTTTCTTGGACATATATTTAAAATACAGTACAAGTACTATCATGTATCGGAAGGGTCTCTTTTCTGGACACTATTTTACAATCAAAATAAACAAAACTCTTTTCCTTTACATGATTTTTTTTTTAATTTAAATTTTGTGGAGCATATGTTTAAAATACAGTACAAAGTTCTATATCCGTGTGTCCATATGCCAAAAGGGTCTCTTTTCCGAACACTTTTTTTGCTATCAAAATAAATGAAACTCCTTTCCTTTGTCAAAAAAATAAATAAATAAAACATCATTATTATTTTCTTTTTTGCACTTGCTACCTGTTTTGCACATGCTAAAGCATGCTAATCCTCTGCTAATTTCCGTTTCTTTATGATTTTTATCCAATTTGCAATTTTTGTTTGATTTTTAATTCGATTTCCGCTATTATATAAAAAAATAATTGGATATCGCGGAAACAAAATTCAGCATTTCATGAAAGCATGAAAAAAAAATCACGTATTTTTTTCTTTCATCTTGCATAAAACGATTATTATCGCCAAGAATCACACACTAAATTTCAGGGTGCAAGATTTTAAAAACCGAGTGAAAATATGTTTTAATTATGACCGAAAAAGTGATCAACAAAACTACACAGATTCACTGTTTAAGCATCGCTATATTTAATAAAAATGCAATTATATATCCACGTGGGATTGCAGGTGAATCGTGAATGATTAAGTGCGAAATATGCGATTCGAAGTTTGCCGAACGAAGTAATGTATAATAAAACATTAAGATTTTAATAACCCCCGAAAAAAACTACGCGGATTCACTGATTAATCATTGCTGTTCAAGAAATTATCACTCGCTGAAATGTGTGATTCGAATTCCTGGTATGGTATAATAGTATATTAAAATATCAAGATTTTGAAAACCATGTGGAAATCTTAACAAAAGCTGCGAAAATGGTGGTACCTCGTAAATCACGTGAATTTATGCGTTGTTGATTGAAATTGACATTAATTATTGTCTATTTGTTATTTTTATTGAATAAGGATGTTTGTTTACCTTTAAGACCTATTATGTGGAAAAATCTATTTTCCAGACTTGCCGAAGTCCTGACAATTCCGCATATGAAACTTTTTATTTTTTAATTAATTTTTTTTGTCTGAATAATTAGAATTTTCCATTTTCTCCAGTGTATAAATAAAACATTTCATTCTGCCCTACGAGCAACGAAAACAAAGTTAATGAATTAAAAGTTATAAGTGACATTCAACATCTATGATCATCATTGTTTAAGTCATCATTTGTTAAGGTCAATCTATCTTAAAACAATGTCAAAAAAGCACTAAATATTTTAAAATGAACTTTTCAGGGAAAAGGGAATATCGAAAGTTCTAAAAACTTTCACGAGCTTTCAAACAAGTATAACCCTTCTGTAAATTAAAATAAGCAGTTCATGTTTAGTTAAAATGTGAAATGTAGCTTCAGTAAAGATAAAACTGTCCAATCAATTTATATTTTAGTGTATTTATAAAGTTTATAACTTAGACCCTTTTTAGATTTAGTGTAGATATTCTGCTTTAAAAAATCAGCTGCCTTATAAAATCAAATAATCTTCAAACAAACTTTATTTCCACAAGCAGCAGGCCATGTACTGATTTTGGTTGTAAGTTTTTTCAAGGCGTGGATGAACAGTAATGAAATTGATCTGTTTTACAGAGATATTGTACTAGCAAGTATCATTCCTGATTGTTTACAAAATAATTTCTTTTCTTTTTTTTTTTTTTTTTGATTAGTTGGATGCAACAAAAAAGGAACCCAGAACTTTCATTTTTCATAGTGATGATGCATTTACTAATGAAAGACTTGTCATATTAATTCATGGGAGTGGAGTTGTCCGAGCTGGACAATGGGCTAGACGGTAACAAAAGATTCATTTTAATTTATTCATTCATGTTCATGTGACCAAAATAATTATTAATGATTATATTAATCTTACAAAATAATTATACTAATAATTAAGTTTGCAATATATTAAATATATTTTTTTCAAAAAAAGTATTTAAAATCCTGCTTTAAACATTTTCTGAAGTGTAATCTAATAGTTTTAGTTCTAATTCTCTCACTCTCTCTGTATATATTACATCAAAAGAATTTTACATCATGTTTATGTACTTATTTGAATAAAAATAAAAGTAAGTATTGAAAAATTCTAAAAGCATTCATACATAGAGTATTAAATGATCTATCTAACATTAATGACCTCAAAATTTTATTGCTTTAAATTTTTCATAAAATATCCATAAAAGTTCTAAAAATCCATTTCTTTAAATCCTCTATTATTTTAGTAACTTGGAAAATTGGTGTATTTGATGTTAAGACTTCTTGTTTATTTCCCAGAATACAAGATGTTAGAATACAGTAACTCAAGTGAAATAGCCAAATAACTGCTCTCTTGGATAATTTAATTGATTATTGTTCTCACTTTTTATTTAAAAAAAAAATTTTAATATTGTTTAATTTTTTACTGTTTACAGGTTAATCATAAATGATTGCTTAAATAGTGGTACACAAATGCCATACATTAAAAGAGCGAAAGGACTCGGCTATGGGGTTATTGTTCTTAATACAAATGACAACAAACAAGAAATAAAAGGAGTAAATCATAAAATTAGGGTTAGTAGTTATAATTATAATTTGATATTCATGACGTTAAAGCATCGAATTTTTGTGCTTTTTTAATTTGTGTATATTTCCTGTTCATATTTTGTTATATTTTTATTGTTTCACTATTTGATATCTTAAATCATTCAATTTTAAATGATAAATGTTTTTTCAGGGTTGTGAGTCACCAGAAAGTCATGCAAATTATGTATGGAAAAATGTCATCATGGCTAAAGCAGCTGCAAAATATATTGCCATTGTTGCTCATAGTTATGGAGGCATAGTTACTGTAAATATGGTAATGCATATTTTTTTTCATTTATTTATTTTTTTAAGATTTACTTAAATTTTTACTAATTAATAATTAATCTGTGTGTTAATAATTAATGTATGTATTAACATACTAAATTAACCTTATAAAAATCATGTTATCTATAATATATATGTTACTGTGAATGGTCGAAATTGGTGGTTGTTGATTTCTACTGGTAAATGTTGACAATCACATAGTCGCTTTGGTAAAAGTCCAAAGTATGTATTAGGTCTAGTTAAGTGCCACTGCTCAGTATACATTTGCTTGGTATGCCCTACATCAATGTTTTTTTTAAAGTCAAGTGCCTCCGCCCAGTATGCATTTAACTTCTATTCCGAACACTGATGTTTCTTCTAATCTATCCTCAGCAGATATTAAAATATCAGATATAACAAATATTTTGAACATTCACCAAAGCTACTACGATTGTTGACATTCACCGGTGAAGGTGGACATTCTCTTGATTTCAGTCATTCACGATAACATGTATATTATTTATTTATTTTTATTAAGATGTGGTGTCTGTAATAATCTAGTGCGGCTTTCAGGAGAACTACTCGAAGCATCAGTCTTGCATCCTGGCGGCTACTATGCTTACAAGGAAAAGTCGCTTCGATTAGAGGTGTGGTGAATAGTTTTGTCTTAATTTTGGCATGGATTGGTGAAAGTAAACCAATCGACATCCTTCATTCCTCCATTGCACTCCCATTAGAAATGTGCTATCGCTTGTTACTATAGCAGTAAACTTTAGTCTAGTGCTATACTTTTAGTGTCCTCAGACTTGGCCTGACTTTTAGTCTTCTCAAAGCTGCACTATACCCATAAGTGTTTTGTATAACATGGACATGCATTCATTTCTGAATATCAATTTGTAAACAAAAGAAATTTTTTACTGTAATTTTTCTGAGGAAATACTTAATAGTAATAATGTAACATAACCTTAATTTTTATTTTAGTGTCGGACATTCCCAGATTCATTCCAAGAGAAAGTTATCGCCATTGCATTTACAGATTCCCCCCACAATTTAATTCTACAGGGTCTCTCAGAGCCTTTAATTGAGTGGTTTCGAAAGGTATGCATTTTAACCTTTAAAATTTACTTTAAGATTTTTTTTTATATTTTTTTAATTTTCTTACAATATTTTTTATTTGTTCAAAGGATTTACATAGCTGCCAACTCTACTGGATTTTCCAGTAGACTACTGGATTTTGTCAGTTTCTCCTGATTTACTGGTTTAATAGAAATTCTCCTCGTTATTGTACATTTTAGAAAATTCCCTGAAATTGAGTAAATTTCCTAAAAATTGAGTAAATCCCTATTGAAACAGAATTTTTGTACAGATTATTGCTTGCTTGAACAATTAAATAAGTATTACTAGTATATAATGAAGCAAACCTCATTTATAGAAATCAGTTCAAAACTTTTTTTGTTCTAAAATGTTCAGTTTATTTTTGTTCATAACTCTCTTTTCAAATTAAATAAAAAATTCTTTTAGCTATCTTTGATGAAATAAATGTCTATTAATATTCAATATTATGAGTAAACATAATTCATAACACTTCAAGTCTGTTTAATCTCTATCTATCATAACTGGAAAATATTGCAATTTTTCAATTTTGATGACTATAAAAATCCCTAAAATTCCCTATGTGTTAAATGTTTAGTACATTATGCAACAATTATCATGAAATTTGTATTATTTCATAAAACTGAATATTTTTCCATCCACGTTGGCAGCTATCTTTTTCAAGCATTCTACATTCCCCAGATACTTCATTAATATTTTTTTTTCCTATTTCTAATTTATGTCAGACTTAATAATACTGTTTTTTATTTTATTTTCTAGAGCATGTTATGTCATTTTAATGTTGCATAAAATAGCCATTTCATGCTCTTTTACTATTTTACTCAATTTTTTAATAAAATCCAAGTCTTTTAGTTGATTTCAGGGAGGCAATTTTCTTCGACACATTGGAAAAAAAGTCTCATTCAAAGTGCAATAATTTTTTTTTTCAAATGTCAAGTATTTAAAAAAGAAGTTTAAACAGTTTATAATTGCAATCTATCTTTAATATTATTCATTTCCCAGCTATTTAATATGTCATTTTTAAATAAGGAAAAGCTAAAGCTAAAAAGCAATAATTGAAAAAGAAATTTGTGTAATAAATTTTATGTTTCACATAAAATTTAATTCTGCAGTTATGAGATTTTTTATTAAACCAAAGATATTGTAATAATGAAAAAAAGAAATTTATTATGTTTTTATTTTTTTACATAAATTTATTTCATTTTTGCAGTTAAAAAAGGATAATAAGGAGTATTAATAATATAAAAATGGCAGTTTCTTCCTATTTCGACTTCTGTATTATTAAAATATATTATGTTTATTAGCATAAGCCTATGTTGATAATTGATTCACACGTTTCCAACCTACTTTTAATACCTTTTTCGTTAAAGAACTAAAAACATACAACTTAAATTTTTCTTTACCAAAAACAAAAAATAAATCTCTTTCCTAATTATGTTAGTTTATATCATGTTTGCGTAATTTATTATTTGAGGTTTATTCAAGGTTTTAATAATCAAATTAAAAGTTACTGTTCTGTAGCAATTAATTAGTTATAATTTTTTTTTTTCGTGAGTAAATTATACATTTGGAAGTTATTATTTTATGTCTAGTTTTGCTAGATTCCAGATGTTTTAATAATAATTTCTATTTCATATTTTAAGATACAGTTAAAATATTCTTTCCAGGCATGCAAATCTAATTACTGTTATAAAGCTCTTATATAAATATAAAAACTGTAATTTTTATATTTATATTTGCGTTATGTACATAAAAATAATAAGAATCAAAGATTATGAATGGTTTGCTTCCATTTTTCACAAAAGTCTTCATTAGATCGCCATCTGTTGCATTTTGGAGGAGCACTAAATTTTTACAAGTCAGTAACATAGAATATCTACTCTCCCTGAGAGTTATTACACGGTTAAGATGGAGGGAAAAATCAGTGCTTGTTTGCGCAAAATATTTTTTTTCTCAGAATCTACTTTCAGGGACTCAAACTGTTCTCCTTCATCTCCAATTGACTTTCTTACAGATTTTCAACACTTTTTATTTAGTAAATTTCTGTTAAATGTTTGTTTATGTTGCTTTTAAGATGTTTATTTTTAAATTTAATGTATCTTTATTGTTTGATAGATAAGAACTAAAAAAAAAAAAAAAAATTTTTTTTTGACAGATTATGATTTATAAGTAAGTCAATTTGTGAAATTAAAGACATGCTTATGAAATTGCTTCTAAAACAAATTGAAAAGTTCTTAAAAAGTTGATTTAACTAAAAAATAATAAAATAAAATAAGTTTGAGTTCATAAGATTTTCTTAATTTTCAGTAAAGAAAATGAAAATCATGCATAAATTATTATTTCATTTAAACTAAATACATGATTTTTTTGTTGCAAGCTTATTTTAATTTGAAGTAATTGGGACTATTTCTAGTAAGTGAGTATTACTCTTACTAGTAACTAACACTGTTTTATTAAAAAAATATATATATAACTCGAAATGAATAAAAAAAAAATAATAAAAAAAATTTTTTTACTCTCTTATTATTGTTCTCTTCTCATTCATTTGTTTTTTTTAAAGATATCTATATATATATATATATATATCAATATAAACACTATCCGTCATCATAGAAAATATTCATAGACAAGTTTTTTAGAAGCATTCTGATGATTAAATAGTTGAGCTTTTTAATCTGCTAAAATTTAAACCATTAATATTAATTAATAACAATTTAATTATTCTTTAGTCTAATTAAAAAGATGTAAGTTTATCCTAAAACAAAAAGTAGAGAAAATTAAAAATCATTTTTGAAAACAATGCATTATATTTTTAAAGCAAAAATTCAACAGGTTGTTCAAGTTATCTTCTTCAATGGTATTTTTCTAACTTATACCAAATTATGTTATGCTTTTTATTTTACTTTTTATTTTATTCCTTTCATTATTATTTATTTTTCGCTTTTTTACTCTTTTTTTTTATTTTATTCTCTTTTATTTATTTTGTTTTTGTCATCTTTTTATCCATTTTCTTTTTATTTCCTGTACAATAAATTCTATTGAGTTGATCACTCTTGAAAGCTAATCACCTATCTAAGTTATCAAGAACCAAATTTATCCTACAAAAGGTAATAAAATTTGTATCACCTGACCATAGTTAGATAATGCACGTGTGCGCGGATACATTAGTGATGAGTCTCCATTTTTGCAGATACAGTAGGGAGCCGATTATCCGGAATGATCGGGACCATCGCTATTCCGGATAACTGATTTTTCCGGTTTTCTAAATCGCTACAAAAAGCCGTTTTTATATTGTTAAACCCAACTAAAAAAACATTTTTTTTAGAAATAATCTTAAAAAGAAGAAAAAACGATGAAGTAATACACTAATGATTATTTCCAAAATGATGGTAAGGTGAACATCTTTCAAAAAAGAAAGAAAAATCCTAAAATCTTATGAGGAAAAAAATTGTTTTTTTTTTTAAAAAATGGCGAGAAAATGTATCGAAGTTCGTTCCGGTTTTTTGGTTTTCCAGTTTTTTGATTTCCGGATAACGGATTCTGTACTGTACTTTCTTAATATTTATTATAAGATAAAAAAAAAGTATCCGCATGCTCATAAAAAAAGTTGGCATTAGAGGGAAAAAGAAAATATAAAGCAGATAATGTAATCATGATTTATGCAGTGTAGAAGAAAGTCGGTGTTTAGTTGTATGCATACTGCTCCCAAAGCGAAAAGATATAACTGACACTTTAGCCCAAAGACTAGCGATCCCATCATATGTGGTCGAGCTTACAATCAGCTGATTATTTTACAACTCAACTTGACGCAACTATCGCTTTACAACAAAAATAGAGGATTGTGGTAACAGTAGGAAATCTTTTAATGTCATTTTGTTTGGAGCGAAATTACTAGTATTACTTATTATGATAATTACTTTATATTAATGTAATTTTATGTATAACTATTAATATTAATTTTTAATGTTTTTCATGTTAATGTGCATGTATATATATATACAGTGGAGCATCGTTTATACGACGCCGAAGGGACCACCGAAAAACGTCGTATAATCGATTTTTACTTCTAAAACTGAAACTAACTCTGTTTTCAGTTAATTTTAATGTTTAGCGTGTTGATTTGCATAGATTTCTAAATTAGACAAAGCAAAACAAACAAATAACCAAAGAAGAAAAATTGCAGTGAGCAATTTGAATGTATGTTACTTTTAATTATATTTTCTTGCTATTAGTCTCTACAATGCAATGCTTTGAATAGCGAGTTGAACTTACTGCTTTCTATGATAAAATTTTAGATTTCTAATCACGGCCAAATCTAATCGCTGAAGCGCACTTGTGCAATTTGCAGGAAAAAAGAGAGCTTTTACATTTTCCAAAATAATTAGTATCGATGGGTGCGCTGGACATTGGTCGATGAATAGCAAAATTTTTATTTTTTCCCTCTTCATAACATTGTCAAGTTTTTTCAGTCATTTAGTAAAAATTACGGTCGTCATCCAAGCATTCTTGTTGGCACCCTTTTCTGTATCATTCATGTTGGCAAATTCCGCCCTTTTTTAAAATACACAAGAAAAAATAAAAAATTAAATAAAGAACAAAATCTAAAAATCGACGTATAACCGATTCTGTGCGTCGTATAAACGATATATTTTTACATTAAAATGAATAGGAATGATTTGGGACCACACTAAAACGTCGTATAAATGTAAACGTCGTATAAGTGATCGTCGTATAAACGATGCTCCACTGTATATATAATTTTTGTCGAGAATGAATAAAATTGTTTAATAGTTAACTGTTTTTGTATATTTGATAAAATTATTCTATTATCAAAAATATGAGTGTGCAGATACTGTTGGATAGTGTGCGCAGATACTTTACATTTTTATCTTTCTGTGCACTTGACCTCCTTTCGATCCTGTATGTTGACCATTGAAATAAGCCTAATTTGCCTAGGAGTGTTATTAAATGCCATTTGAAACCCT